TATATCAGACACACTAAATCAGACACACTTAATAAGATACACTAAATCAGACACACTTTATCAGATACACTAAATCAGACACACTTTATCAGACACACTATATCAGACACATCAGACACACTAAATCAGACACTATGTCAGAACACTATATCAGACACTACATCAGACATTCTGTATCAGACACACTACATCAAATATACTATGTCAGACATACATCAGACAAACTATATAAGAAATACAATATCAGAATCACTGTAACAGACCCACTGAATCAGATACTTAAATCAGACAGACAAAATCAGACACTACATCAGACACACTAAATCAAAAACCCTATATTAGCCACTAAATCAGACACACTTCATCAGCCACATCAGAGACACAACAACATACACCAAATCAGACACTATATCAGACACACTAAATCAGACACTATAGAAGGCACTTAATCAGACACAGTATATCAGACACACTTTATGAGTCATACTATGTCAGACACACTATACCAGACGCACTAAATCAAAACACCCTGTATCAGGAACAATATATAAAGCGCACTAAATCAGGCACCCTATATCAGATACACTCTATGGGACATACTAAATCAGACACTATAAAAGACACACTACATCAGACACACTATATCAGACACACTGAATCAGACACACTCTAGATCTATTAGACACGTTAAATCGGAAACCCGATATCAGACAAACTATATCAAGCACTATTTTAGCCACACTAAATTAGTGACACTGTATCAGACATGTTATATCAGATTGTAAAGCATTGTTGATACGACTATGAGTTATGTAACAGTTATATTAATCGTGTTATTGTTACCCTGTCTGTCGCTCACGATCGGCATTAAGGGAATAAAACACGGACTGGTCGGCTCGGAGTCATTTGATACATTCTGAACGACCATCAATCGATATTTACAGAACAATGATTATATATTTTCATCAGTGGTGCATAAATGAAAGTTATTTAACTTTACGTACTTTCCGTAATGCGACTCGTAGTCTGGTAAATCCATAGCAACCGCCATGAAGACATTCTTAAGATCCTGATTAGGAACGGTGCCATGGTTAGCTGTTTGGGCCGATCTGATTCCAGGGAAGCCTCATTTCTCATTTTATACGAGCATATATATATGCAATTGACAGTGACTATAGGGTGACTAATAAACAGCGTTAAGCCAAATGAGCAATTTGCAAAGCATTCGTAATTAATAGCCAAAACGTAAACTTATTGAACCAATCGTCAGCAATAATTGCATGAAAAAGTGAATGGTGTTCACAAGGAACTGCTTATTACTTGACAAGAGAAGTCTTTGTGAAGACACTTATGTGAAAGTCAGCTGTGGGATTAGCCGCTGATAAGAAGTCTCAGAAGGCCAAGTTTGGTTGAAATGCCACCTTCGATAAACAGACTCCTTGTCCACAGTGCGTATGTATAGCAGTGGATCGTTCTTCCTTGAATCTAGCCTGAGATTTGTAATACACCCTATCAGCAAGTATTAAACCCAATCGGACATTTATGGGATGCACTGGATCAACGACTGCGAGCACGTCAGCAACAACCACAGAACCTCCAACCTACAAGACCTCTTCCAGTTCACACTGGGACATAATAAACTCGGACGCTTCCTATGTTACACAGAGTTCATCTAAAAGGCAAAACAAGGAGTTTTAAAACGCTGAAAGTGAGAAACCCTCTTCCAGTTCACACTGGGACATAATGAACTCGGACGCTTCCTATGTAACACACTGAAAGTACGAAACCAAATAGGTAAATGCTTGCCAACATACTGAACTCCCATGAGCGATTTCTTGTTCATTTGTACTAGCACTTCTCAGTACATATGGATACATCCTTCTCGTTGCGTCAACTGCATAAGCAAAAGGGATAGTTTGGTACAGCCAGCACAGGTCTTGCATACACAAGCATGTAGAGACTGTAGGAGTGATTGGTAACCTTATCACTGATGGCGTATCAAAGGCAGCACTCAACAAATGTGTGACTCACTTCTGATCCCATGCAGTGATTACAAACATGTCAAACGTTTTACATCAGAGATCGAATGTAAAAGAAATCGGACACCCAAGTAGATATCATTAAATAGCATGAAGTGAAACCAAACATTGGTTTTACCTACTTTGGTTGTCAGTCCAGCTTGTCCTCCATTTCACATCAAATAATATCTCAAAGTATCATTTTATAGGATATTTAAAAAAATAATAACATTCATTTAATTATTGTTTTTTGAAAAACTATAAGTTGTTTTGCGAAATTATAATTGGTTGAATGAATAACTGAGGTCGTTACCCTTGACGACGATTGAAAAGGCGTAAAATATTTGTGCCTACAAGAGGGTGAGACCACATCATCAAAAACAGTTTTATTCCTACTACAGTTGTAACCGTAGTATACTTGTTGATTTCAATTTGTGGATTCACCAGCTTACAGTTGCCTTTATCTAGAGGGATGGTGTAAACTCCACCCTTGCCGAACTGATCGGTAATCAAGATCTATATTGTAATAAAACGGGTCTTACCCAGCGAAGTGCATCAAATCACTTGAGCACCTTGATTGAAAAAATGAAAAGATTTGCAAAATATCTGTCGACGCCAAGTTTGCGGCACACATGTTTTGCAAAGCCCGCAGTCGACCGATATCCGCACGTTGAATTCCATGTTGTTTACGAACCGGATGTCTATGTCGTTACGCGGTTTTGATTGGACTAGAGTCGTTAGTCCAGCCAAAATGTAACTCCGGAATTCCAGCGTAGTTCGGCAAGGGTGGAAACTGGACTTTTATTAACAGTTCTGGTGTCCCCCGCCGTGATATTACTGGAATATTGCTAAAAGGGGCATAAAATCAAACTCACTCACTCACTCATTTATAATCAGTTAATGCCCTTGCCTCGGTCTCTTTTTGGCTCCTGGCGAACCATTGTATAATCGTTTGACAATCATATTGTTTTCATACCCCCATACCAGTTATAAATATACAACTGTGATGTATTAGTTGTTATATTATACATATAATAACATAATAGTTGTATATTGTCGACAGGTATTATACAGTATTTCGGTATTACTCTGACCCCGAACGTCAGCAGGTTAATCACGACATATGACCTAGCTTATTGTGTATCCTCATTTTGGCGACGTGGATAGCTGCTCATACTATCAAGCAATGAATTCACTTGTCATGACTTCTTGCAATATGTCCGGTCAGATGTGATATTGCTGAATATACTCAATATATGTATCTGCATTAAACTGCATGTTCAAGTAATAGGAATAATCTGTTTGCATTCATTAAATCACTGTGTATATCATACCAATGAAATATTCACATTCCTACACCTCTTACCTGCCAGGAAGACGGCCACAATAAGAACATGCACCATCTCCAGTTTTGGCTCCAAATCCTTCTTGTTGACCCACAATGACTAACAGATGATTATGATGCTCTTTTATCCAAGCACAATCGTGTGAAAAGACTTCTGTTGATAAGCACTGTTGGACTTAATTACATATAAGGAACTGCTAGTAAGGATTTGGGATATCCACATGTAGCGATAACATATTTATCTAAATATGTTTGCCCTTGTGATAAAATTTAGTACTCATTATTGAAATGTATAAGAGTCATTTTATGTGTATAGCATCGTGTATCCTTACAAAATATTTTAATTTTACATAATGATTCATTTTAAAACTTATTTTTACTCGTTTTCCCAAACATATTTATTGGTGGATTAATGTTTTCGTGTACACTAGTGTATGATACCTTTTTGAACATGCATGTACCAACATCTCATTATTCATATATCAACAGTAAAGGCATTTGGTTAGAACTGTAACGAACTGTTTGATCCTGTTCTTTCTTTTTGAGGTTTGTTCGAGTGTTCCGTGGACTGAAGGTACTCACTCCAATTATGGACCGAATACAAAACTACGTCACATCACAGCAGAATGTAGTGTTCGGCACGGCTCAACGACGAAAATGCAGTTTACAAATAAATACATTTATCATATAATGGGTAGGTTTCTCGGCAGGATAAAGCCAACGGATAAAAACGATATCCGTTGGGGTCATATGCGGATAGAGATGCAAATATCAAAGGTCAAGTAGGGACTACTTTCAATGTTTACAAACAAACATGGCGTCGCCCTTGTCATTCGGCGATCGAGTCAGAATTAACCATCGGGAATTCAGATAAACTACAGGGATAATTGCCATCATTATTAAAAGATGAAGTCCAATATACTGAAAATCAGTGTCTAACTGTGACGTAGCTAAGGCATTTTATAAGTTTTTGAAACAATTTAGCGAGGGCACTAGGCCTAGCCAAGCGGGATCAGTGGCCATATCTGTGCTTGTAGACCTCTGCGGCTTGAAACCTTTTCCACAAATTAAAATAGTTGGATTTCTGCCGAATTTATACATTGTATCGTTTTGTCGCTGTGTGTACATCTGACTGCACTTCTTAACGGTATGACAGGACAGGCCGATTCGACTATTTTATTTAAATCATGAAAATACAAGTTGGGGACAAGTGATACTTGTACAAATATTTGCCCCCCCCCCCTACCCCTGTCAAAAGTTAACTACGGCCTTGGCGACGTACATGCACGTGTGTGTCTGTGTGTGTCTCCTTGTACTAGTCCGGACTTATGCCGATTTAAAAGTGCTCGCCCAATGTATTGACTCCGAGCAGAGCAGTCCTTGTTTTAGCCCCTTAATGCCGAGCGCCAGACAGGGTAATAACAAGGACCCTCCTTTAACGTCTTTTGGTCTGACCCGATCTTCAGGATGTGACACAAATCTTGCCGACATTAACCAAGTGAATTTGATTCAATTATGTTGAGTTAATGTCTGACAATAAACAGATGTTGCCATTAGGCTTATCCATTTAAAACACAAGCTTAACTTCCTTAGCCCATCTGAACATAGCCAGAGGAACAATAAGTTTGAAAAATGGACAAGCATGATCAGATTTATTAACCAATAATAGGTCCAGATCCGAAATTGTTGGTGTGTAAGAATGGGGGAGCCGGAAGTGACGTATCCTTCCCATATATGGCGCACTTCTTGTAGTCACAGGGGCTCTCTCTCCAGGCGTACCGCACACCCACAACCTTGCGATTACAGGATGTTGTAGAGAGAACTACCTGGTTGTCTTGGTGGGATTGGATCGGTGCAGCTATCCAAGTATCTAGAGGGCCACACGTTGCATCAGCTGAACAACAGACCTACAAATTCAGAAAAATAAGTCATTTCAGAGGATTTCGGAGTAGCAGAATGCAAAAGTGTTACAATTTCAGTAGCAATGGCCAATCTGTGATTCAATAAATATTTGCTACATTACAATGCTCTTTATTTTGCCCATGTTAATATTTGAAAACATCTGTATGGGTGAACACAGCTTCATGCATACAATTGGCTATTACAATAGTGATTGTTCAGTCAACCTTACGTCTTTGGCATTACAGGTCCTTTCCACCAGGCCACTTCACTATAAAAATACATTTACAGGGGTAGCGGTATTTTACGGGAACACTCGCATCGACAGGCGTTTGATCTTGAAACCCAGGCGAGCTTTGTGTTATAGCCAGGTCACTCAAAACCGCCCTAAAAGGATATGAGTTTGTGGGAGTCGATTCTGAAAGACTTCAGAATTTGTAGTTTGCATTACCATTTTTGCTGTAATAAACCTACCTCAAATCCATTGTTCGAGTTGACCCTTATGGGGCCATAGTTGTAGATGATGTTGATTGTGTGGTGGGCTGTATTGTCTGTTACAGTCTTAGGATAAGGACCCTGGTAGTGAACCCATTGTTCGTGGTAAGCTACTCCTCGTGCAGCCAGAACCAGTCGCCTAGCAACATCTTGCTTGTACCGGGGATGGATGCTAATATAGATTAATCATATTGCTTATATTGACCATGAAATAATGCCTATGAAGTAAATGTGTTCTGTTTTAAACAACCAAAAAATATAACATTCTGCCGGACTTTAATCGGATTGTAAGCTATGCAGATATTCTGTATATCAGATAGCTGTTTATTTCAGTTTGTCTTCTGAATGATTTAACAATCGGTTTATTTAGAATTGGCGCATACATGAGAGCTAATTAACTGTTACGCACGATCCGTATGGCGAACTGAAGTCAGGTAGATCCATAGCAACCGCCATGAAGACATTCTTAAGATCCTGATTAGGAACGGTGCCATGGTTCGCTGTCTGGGCCCATCTAAGTCCAGGGAAGCCTCCGATAGTTGTAGCACTCTGACGATACGCAGCCAGCTAAAAAGCAGCAACTCATGTCATTATACTTTCCTAGCATATTATTGATAATTTTGACACATTCTAATTAACTGTACTCTCAATGGTTAATTGTGCTTAATTTGATTTGATGTAATCCCTGCTTAGTGATAATGATAATGAACAGTCAAGCTATGTGACGGCGGTCTGTAAATAATCGTGTCTTGATCAGACAGTCCAGTGATTGACGTCATGACCATCGATCTCAGCAACTGGGATACGATGAAATTCATCAACCAAGTCAGTGAGCCTTACCACCCGATCCCGTTAGTCACCTCTTACGACAAACATAAGTTGCTAAGGACCAATTCTAACCAAATGTAACTGATATAACAAAATGTACCTGTGTTGGGATAGGAACTCACCACTTGGTGAGCCCACTGAACCACTTCAGATAAAGTTTGGGTAATGAAAAAATGGCACAACTGGTATGATTAAAAAGAGAAATACACGATTTCTGATGAAGCACCTGGACGAAACCAAATGGGAAGGTAGCGCTCGTTTCTCCCAAAGATTCCTTGTTAAACTTGTGTCGCCAGTCGTTGATCAATGCCTGGAACTGACATGAATACGGTTCAGGTCGCCAGGCGTTATTTTCACCTGAAACAAAAAAAAGTTGAACCAAACATATTTATATGTCATGTAATAGAAATATGCGATGGATAACAAGGTATAGATGTGTACGTGAAGGGGCACAAGTCCCGTAAAAGAGATGAACCCAGACAATGTAGGTATGGATTAGATGGTACATATACATTGATGATGCATTAACATTAACTTGGTGTATTGAGGATAACTTAATAACATGTTGAGACAGTTTTAAGATTTATACCTTGGTACCAGATGGCTCCATATATGGTAAGGCCAAGGAGAGGTTTGATCATTGGGTTCCAGAGAACAGAATGTGCGACTGGACCTCTGTAAAACAATTTAGGGACTATTTTCTTTTTAACGCCATTTGTGTCCACATATTTCTCCTGAAACGCCTATGCACATTTAAATGAGCAAAACAGAATAATAATAATAATAATAATAATAATAATAATAATAATAATAGAATAATAATAATAATAATAATAAATTCTTTGGAATAGGCCCATTAACAGCCTCAGACGTATCCAGGCCAACAAACCTGATTTTGTCCTTTTTGATAAATCCAATGAAATAATTTATATCATTGAATTTTCTGTCCCCTTTGACACAAATATGATTTACAAGATTGAGGAAAAACATGGCAAATATGCGGACCTCGCTTTCGAAATGTCACGCTTGCATCCCAAGTACCAAGTTGTCCGACTCCCCATTGTTCTCGGTGCCTTAGGTTTGGTACCTCCCAATCTGTTGACTGACATTGGGAGAGTACCCGGGTTTGCTACCTGGAATACAGCCCTTCTGACAATCTGGGTAATGCAGAAGGCTGCAGTGTTGGGGAGTCTTCACATTCTTCGGAAATGTCTGGGTGGGTTTGACTAGGCAGCGCTTCCTGGGAGAGTCAGTGAGTGAGTGAGTATGGTTTTACGCCGCTTTTAGCAATATTCCAGCAATATCACGGCGGGGGACACCTGAAATGGGCTTCACACATTGTACCCATGTCGGGAATCGAACCCGGGTCTTCGGCGTGACGAGCGAACGCTTTAACCACTAGGCTACCCGACCGTCCGCTTCCTGGGAGAAGTCCCATTCGCTGTCTGGGCTGCGTGTATAGGGGGCAAGGGCCCTGAGCTGATGATGAGCCTAACCAGTCTGACTGGAACACCCAAACCCTCTCTGCTGCATTTTTTATTTTAATCTGTAAATAATAACAACAACACCAACAACAACAATAATAATAATCGTCAATGTGTGATTTTGCATCAAAATGAAATATGAAATGTAGATTATTCATTTAATTTAATGAGACTGTCAGTGGATGCCCCGCTTTGGCACAAACACAGTATCTTAAGCAAAATGACGGAATGGCTCGATTCTTTGATAACCGTCCTCGCTATGCTTGTGGTTTTGACACAGAGGTCCATCTATGGTACCACCCGAAATATGTAGAGGGCGTAAAAACAAACGATAAATACAAAATTCTTTGGAAGGCATGTATACAGTCTCAGACGTATCCCAGCTAACAAACCTGATCTTGTCCTTTTTTATATCATTGAATTTTCGGTCCCTTTTGACACGAATGTGATTGACAAGATTGAGGAAAAACATGGCAAATATGCGAACCTCGCTTTCGAAATGTCACGCTTGCATCCAAAGTACCAAGTTGTTCGTCTCCCCATTGTTCTCGATGCCTTAGGATTGGTACCTCCCAATCCGTTGCCAAAAATTGGGAGAGTATCCGGGTTTGCTACCTGGAATACAGCCCTTCTGACAATCTGGGTAATGCAGAGGCTGCAGTGCTGCGGAGCCTTCACGTTCTCCGAAAACCTCTTGGTGGGTTTGACTAGGCAGTGCTTCCTGGGAGAAGTCCCATTCGCTGTCTGGGCTGCGTGTAGAGGGGACAAGGACCCTGAGCTGATTATGAGCCTAACCAGCCTGACTGTGCCAGGATCACACAAACCCTCTTTGCTGCATTTTTTATTTTTATTTGTACATAATAATAATCATCATCATCATCATCATCATCATCATCATCATCATCATCATCATCATCATCATCATCTCGGGAATGCAATTGTTACCGTTTTCTGTGATGGGAGCAGGCTGATAAGGCATCGGGAGAGGACCAGGCTTCGATAGGCGTACCTCCCCAGTTGGACTCGATCAAACCAATCGGATACTTTCTGTCAGCTTGGATATTCTCGCCGAAGAACCAGCACACAGCAGAAAAATAGGTGACAGCACCTATGCAGTGTAATTTATGTTATTATTTTTCAAACATTGCAGTGTGCAGTTCTTAATGTACTCAAATAAGACCGAACAGTTATTTAGCAGATAAACGCACTGTTAGCAGTGTAAAACTAGGTTACCTGTAGATGTATCCGAGCCAATTTGTTTTGGAACCGAACGTGCAGCGTAAGGTTTCCTATATTAAATTTGGCACAGATAAACTAGTTCTACACTTAAAAATATGTTTATCTCCATTCCCTTCTACCGTAACACTGTTAAACAGAATCTCTTTGCGATAAGGAAATATATTGAGTGATGTGGCATCCCGATGTTATGAGTGGGTTGTCAATCCTTCAGACATCATACCTCACTCGCATATGTGAGGCGCAGAGATAGTGGACCACACATACTCCGTAAGTGGGCACACGTAAAGAAAACATAGCTCATAGTGACACAAAGATAAGGGATCACTCAGACTTAGAAAGGCGCCAAATTTCGAACACTAAAATGTGAAATACACTTTCTTGGTCGATTGATTAGTGAAGTAACTCTAATACTGCTTTTTGTAATCATTTATTGTACATCAATATTTCAAAAAGATTACGGACAATGATTAAGAAAGAATTTCTTTTGTATCAATATTTAGCTTCTTTTGTGATGCGGTCGTCAAATACAATGGTTTCAGTTAGAGGTGGTTATTGTAATTTGAAACCTTTGTATAGTTATCAGAATCGTATATTTTCCAAAACCATGGTAGAATAGCTTGTAAGTTGGGTTTTACGCTGCTTGGAACACTGCCATTTAAGTATATAATTATGTCGTGGCATGTCATCATAATGTGGAGGAAAGCCTGGAGGTCTTAGACGTTTATCACTTTGGAGAAACTCACAAGCAAATGTATAATGACGAGAAATCTAAAAAAAAAATGAGGTCTAATCTTGGTTTCTGGCACGCCTGACGGATACAACTCACACCGAAGTGCGGAGCAATGTTCCCTGGAACAGTTCACAAGCAGGGATGCAAACATACGATGTACTGGAACAAACATGTCCGTGGTGGAAACCGTTCTTTAAACTTTCAAAGTATTACTTATGTTTGCACACCTTTGGTTGGTCTTGTCCACTTTACAGATATTCCATTTGCCTGAAATTCTGTGAAAGGCGTTGTCGACTGATGGTTACCAACTCGCATGATCCGAATGTCGCCATACTTCAGTGATGCTGCTATTTCAGCAGTGGAATTAAATACCTGCATTGGTTACAAGAGGTATACATTTATGTTTGAGAAGAGGTGTATTTGTCAGGTTGTTTCTTGATATGTAAGACAAGTCTGACAAACGACCGTTTCGTGGACATGAAACCCAATTCTTTATGAAGGATCCCAGAAACATTAACAAGCTAGTTCCACCTAACTTGTTTCATTTGTCATTCCCTCAATGAAATGGGAGTGCTACTTTGATATATTAGGACATCAAATATTAGTGACAAAACGGTTTGGTTTTACAAATTATCAATTAAAGAAACCAACTGCACACATTCCAAATTGATTAAAATGTTACATTAATTATGTGTGTTGTGTTCCGATTACGAGTGTAAACAGTAAATGTTACTGACATGTCCAAGAGGAAACTCCATGTTACTTTGCCCTCCACACAGCCAGACATCCCCGAAGAGGACATCTGTGATGGTCACTGTCCCCTCACTCGATCTGGCGGACACGGTGAAAGGACCCTTGGCCGTCATAACCGGAAGCTTGACCTTCCACATCCCATGTCCTGCAGAATCTCTGAAAACACTTCCGGTGGCTGAGCCATGACCTACGACGGCCACTGTGACAGTGTCCCCTATTTTGGTGGCATGTCCCCAGATGACAGCCCGCTGAGGACCTCTCTGTAGAACCATGTGGTCCTGGTAGTAGGAGGCAAACTGCAGGGCAGCATTGGAGCCTACAAACACAAGGCGTCTCCTTTATCTTTGAACAATAATTGAACTGAAATATGGATATGAAATATATAAACATTTCTTAAAATAAAACTCCCCACATATCTTGTCAATGAACAACGTGTGATTATTAAAAAAAGATTAAAACAGCATCCACACGCGTACGAGGATTAAAACGCACACATAATAATCTAATAGTTACAAATGAGTGAGTGAAGGGTGTTATCTCACAAAGAAATGCCATACAAGAGAAAGGTTATGAGAACAGCATGCAACCTATCAACCTTGAAGTTGGCCCACCATGTCTACGTCAAGATTCTATATCTTTATATGAGGGCGCGTGTGAAAAGTCATCTGTAAAAATCTGCCGCTGATTAGAAAACTCTGAAGGCCAAGTTTGGGTTTGTGTGTCACCTTCGATTACCGACCATGTGTGTCTATGAATCTCTGGTTTTCGTGTCTAATTGGAGCAGAGTAGACCTCGCAGCGTACAGTTGAACAGTGCTACCGAGGTTTCATTCGAGTGACAAGCTGATGCGAAAACACAGTCCCGCCCGCACGAGTTGTTTTTAGACGATGATGAAAGACTACATGTAGTTATAGCCTTGTTTCACACGAAGCGGCCAAACAGCAACCATGACAAAACCCAGGGCCTTTCCGATTCAAGATCGGGCGCCTTGTCAACATGACTACGAAGGTTCACCCGGTCAGTTTGCTTTACTCTGATATCAACAGAAATCACGCCCCATCTCGGATAATTGGACATTGATATTAACGTGAACGTGTTCATCGAAACGCTTGTTACAACTGCGGCGGTGAAATTCCTCAGTTTAACGCCGCTGTCAGCAACAAATGCAGCTTCGTCACTGTTATCAGGCAAAGGCAGTGACTGAAAGCATGAGCATCGACCCATCCATCAGGGTACTATTTAACACAAACAAAACAGATTTGGCAAGCTAGTGCCGGGACAGCGTCAAACCAAATGCTGCAATGGAAACGCTTAATTATGGTCACTGACAATTGCGCTGAGAAACGTGGAGATGGAGAAGAGCAGAACAATTCTAAGATACCAAGCATTCTTCTAATTATTCTTTATTCTGATAGCGAGTTCATCCTGTACATCCAAGTTGTTTATATATATAAAGCGAGTTTGTTAATCAGTGGATTTCAAATGGCAAACGTTCAGGTGCACGTTTTCGGAACACTCGGTGTCGTTAAAATATTTAGGAACGATGGGCCAAAACCTCAAAAGAAGTTCGAGTAAATGCTAATACAGGTTTGTGTTTTCATGAATATTTCTTGAATGCAGTGATTTTAACTTATTACATTCAGTAAGCTAGGATTAATTAAGTGCAATGTCATAAGAGTGTCCTTGGAGCCCAACACATCTGCTCACATTCATATTCATTAATTATAAATTGGATATACTGGTTGTTACACGGGCCATCGTCCACAGGCACGTGACGAAACAATACATTTCAATTTAGACCCAAATCAAGGACTGACATTGACCTCGAATATTGACTCGTCACGTGATGAATAGTGACTCGTCTGCTAGAAAAATGGCGTCTGGTACCAAAATTTCATGGTTCGCAACTAGGTTACTGTAATGAAACAGGAAGGTTTAAGGGCTTTAAAGATTTTGAATTGAATGTTGGAATAACAAAACGAACGATTACTCTTGACGAGGTCAATATGCGAAAACAAGGACCCGCGGTCCAATCAGACCACTTCTGGGGTCCTTGTCAGGAATGATTATTTATATATAACTATATAACGATATGGCAGAATTACTGTCTATGTGACTATATTGCAACCCAATCTGACCATCAACAGGGTACTCACGACATGACCTGCCGCATTGTGTATCCTCATATTACTGGGACTTGGACAGCTGCTCATACTGTCCATCAATGAAATGACTGGTCTCGATTTCATGTAATGAGGACAATCAGATGTGATATTGCTGAATGTATCAATGTATGAAACTGCTTGTTCAGTTTATGGGAAGTTGACGAGTCGGCATTTATATACTACCAGCATTCATTAAGCCACTGTGTATAACATACCAATGAAACAGTCACATTGCTACAACTCTTACCTGCCAAGACAACGGCCACAATAAGAACTTGCAACATCGCCAGTTTTGGTTCCAAGCCCTTGTGGTTGACCCACAATGACCAAGGGAGGATTATGATGCTCTTTTATACCAACACAATCGTGTGAAAAAGACTTCTGTTTGATAAGGACTTTGGGGCGTATCCTTAAATATAAGATATACAAGTGAACTTAAATTGTGTTCGTAGTTGGGATTTTGTTTATCCATATTTGTCAATGGCTATAACCTTTCTTACACAGGAAGACAAGTATTAATCTATTTCTAAATATGTTTGCCCTTCTGATTCAATTTTGTATTTATTTATGAAAATAAAATTGGCGGCAAAAGAAATTATAGGTTGAGTTCCATGATCGATAAAAAAAATAACAAGAAGAGGTTTTGTTGTGAATTATAACATAATCTAGGGAGAGGTAACAAATGATTGATCAACCACAGTTTGAATGAAATTGTGCAATCACAGGTAATGTAAGCTCAAGGTAAACAATGGTGGGGTAAGAAATTTCATTTTCAAAAGTCTGAAATGTCACCAAAAATTGTCAGACACACTACAAGTTCATTGTCGACACAGTTGCCTTCAATAGCGTGTATGACCTCCAGCTGCCTCAATACATGCTGTGATACGCCGCCTAATCGATGACGTCAGTCTTCTGATGACGTGGACTGGAATCCGTTGCCAACTCGTCTCTCAGGGCCTGCTGCAATTCTTGTCTGTTGACGGGAGGCTGATGGCGTGCTCTAATCTGTCTGCCAAGATGGTTTTCAAAGATGGTCAATAGGATTCATGTCGGGTGAGTGGGCAGGCCAGGGCAAAACGTCAACGTTCTGCTGGTTTAGAAAGTTCCGAGTCAGTCTTGCAGTATTGGGCCTGACATTGCCGTGTTGAAACAATGTCCCCTGCTGTTGGTTTTGTAAGAACCGAAGCACAACTTGCTGCAACACTTGGTCTCTGTACTGCAAAGCGTTCAGGTTTTCCTGTATAATCACCAAATCAGTCTTCTGATCTCCACAAATACCGCCCCACACCATGACACCTCCCCCGCCGAATGAATGGACCTCTCGAATACACGCGGGAGTCAAACGTTCCCCTCTGCGTCGATAAACTCGTTCTCTGCCGTCATTCCGAAACAAGTTAAACCGACTGTTATCAGTAAACAGCACTCGACGCCAATTTCTCACTTGCCAGCGTCGAACCTGCCTCGCCCATCACAGTCTCTGGCGTCGATGTTGAGCAGTCAGTACCATTCCTCGGAAAGGACGATACGCTCGGATTTCAGCAGCACGAAGTCGTCGTAGTACTGTACGTTGGCTAATTGGATGTCCCAACGCTGTTGCTACCGTCGCCGCCGCCGTTACGCATCTGTTTCGCAGGTGAATGAACCGTATCTGACCAGTGGTGTTGTCACTCGGGGTCGTCCGGTTCTAGGCCTGTCCTGTGTCCTCCCTGTCTGCCTGTACCGTTGAATCAGTCTAGCAACTGTCAATGGTGTACAACCGGTTCGCCCCGATTATGTTTCAAGGTTTGTCAGCATCATACTCGTGCTCATGGGTTTCACCGAAATGGTAAACATCTTGAGACCTGCATTACGTCGGGCCTTCGTCCCACATTAAGCTGACACGCCGCGATATAACTGAAATACTGTTAAAATCGGCGTTAAACCCAACTCACTCACTCAAAATACCTGCCACTTTGTATTCGTAGTTTATGAGAACCAGATCACCAGAGCAAGAGAACGTCTATGTTTCAAATAGTTGACTATGTGGATATAGGGATCAACACCTAAAATATGTTTAAACAAATCCGAATCCATAGATATGTAATGTATGCTTAATCCTCGATGCCCATCTTTAACCACCATTACTTTCAATGTACAATATTTGTATTCTTATGTATGACATTTGTTAAGTTTACATAATGATTAATATTAAAAGGTTTTTTTACATATTTGCCTATAAATATTCATTGGTGGATTATTGTATTCATGCATATAACTGTTTCGCATCATGCCTCAGAGAGCTTTTGGAACATTCTATATACTGCTGAAGGGCCACCTACACGTTCACAAATGTGGTAAACCTTGCGCCTTGATGATAGCATGCTGATTGGCTGAAGTAACCCCGGTATGACTACAATTATAGAAAAATATCATATCATGTAATATCCTTTTAGGATCTGTACGAACACAATCAGGTGAAGCTACCCATGTTGATGTGTAACATTGACCATATAGACGTCTCCTTGATCTAACGTCGTCTCAGGATTTTCAATGATTGACAAATATGACCTGCTGTCAGGAGTTTTCATGTTATGCAGCCTCCAATTACGGCTAATGCTGTACGTGTGGCCTCGCTATTTCTGTCTTGAAAGGCCTTACGTTAGAACTGTAACGAACTGTTTCATCCTGGTTCTTACGTTGTGAGGTTGGTTCGAGTGTTCCGTGGACTGAAGGTTCTCACTCCAATCATGGGCCGAATACAAAACAATGTCACATCACAGCAGTATGTGGGGTTTGGTGCGGCACAAAATAAAGACGAAAATGCAGATTAGAAATATCTGATTCGCCATACTCTCCTCAGAATAAAGTCACCGTTCTTTTCCAAAAGAAATTGTAACTTACTTGCACTGAAAGACGTTGCTTTCCTGCTCTTTGTTTCCCCGGCAGGTGCTTTCCAGTTTTTTGTTGGTTACAAGCATCGCAAGGTTGGCGACATCATTGGACGTAATCATTTCAACTGCTCTGATAATTATCTTTTGTGCAGAAATTGAATTATCAATCGACATGAATGCTAGTTTATATAATAATTAATTGATATACAATGATACCGTGAATCACAATGCACCGAGAAAGAAGTAAATGTTTCGTTTACGGTGTTTTCTTTTGAAACTAAAGCTTATTTAGGTAAACGTAATAGCAGGTTTACTAGTAAATATGTTATTACTACTACTACTACTACTACTACTGTTACTACTACTACTACTACTAACAACAACAACAACAACAACAACAACAACAACAACAACAACAACAGCAATAATAATAACACTGAACTTTATTCACATATGGTAAGTTAATGCCTGATCACTTGTAATTACTTTCTGCCCAAAACCTTTTCCCATACTCCTGTCCCTTCTTTTCTCCCACTACACATCAAAACGAACAATTTGCTTGAAAAAATGAATTAGCTAGTTCAACTCTTCATCGGATTTATTAACCAATTATAGGTCCAGATCCGAAGTTGTCGGTGTGTAAGAATGGGGGAGCCGGAAGTGACGTATCCTTCCCATATATGGCGCACTTCTTGTAGTCACAGGGGCTCTCTCTCCAGGCGTACCGCACACCCACAACCTTGCGAGTACAGGATGTTGTAGAGAGAACTACCTGGTTGTCTTGGTGGGATTGGATCGGTGCAGCTATCCAAGTATCTAGAGGGCCACACGTTGCATCAGCTGAACAACAGACCTACAAATTCAGAGGAGTTTGGATTCAGAGGAGTTTGGAGGATAGATGTCCTGGATATTTTTTATCGATATCCTCCACAGTGTTAGCATTTCTGGAACAATTGTCTTTCTTTAACTCATAAAACTTTTGTTTCGTTAATTTAACGAACTTTGCATATATGAAAACTTGAATGCATACACTTGTATATTTCAATATCAATGTTATCACCAATCGTGCGCATTGCGGCACAATCATGAGTCGCGGTATATTTTCTGGAGCACCCGTACCGAAAGCTTGTAAGCGCACACGGAGTTTTTATTTTTTCACGACGTACTCAGCAAAATTGCAGCTATAATGACGGCGGCCTGTAAATCATTGAGTCTGGACTGGACATTCCAGTGACAGATATTATGAGCAACGATCCCGCCGTCGGGGTACGATGACAAACAATCAGCCAAGACATCGATCAACCCGATCAATTTATTCGCCTTTTACGACCAGCATAGGTTGTTGGGGACCTAAGGTAACATGGAATCCCCACAGTATAATACAAATTCACAGACATGAGGTATATATGTACATCTTGATGTGTGTCGTTATGTTTTATGAAATAGTCATCTCAATGAAAATTGTTCTGATAAGTGTTGATTCATCTGATTTGTGATTCCGTGACATTTCATTTGCTAACCAAGAATTTGTTTTTGCCAAAGATATAACTCTACGCACACCACTGATTGGCTGTGTTTCATTATCACGCTGAGTGATGCTGCAAATTTCGTACTGTTTTCTGCAGGATTTTTTATGTGTTGATATTTAAATATGCAGTCTGTGTGATATTGTTGACAGATTTATATTAAGAATTGACTCCAGTATTTGTTGCATTTATGGATGTATAAACGTTCCACCCGTGTGCACACGTTGCCTAGCTACGCGGATTTATGCATTTTACACAAGTGTTATCTAACATTGCACTGGCTTCTGTATTCCTCATTTATGTGGAAATTTATGTTGAAGCGCTTGTAACCTACCTCGAATCCATTGTTAGAGTTGACCATTATGGGGCCATAATTATAGATGATGTTGATTGTGTGGTGGGCTGTATTGTCTGCTACAGTCTTTGGAAAAGGACCCTGGTACATAACACCTTGTTCCTTGTAAGCTACTGCTCGTGCAGCCTGAACCAGTCGCCTAGCAACATCTTGCTTGTACCGGGGATGGATGCTAATATAGGAAAAAAATTCACATGGTCATATAGACTAGGAACCAAATGATTGGTATATACGGTTCTGACATTTGTCTTAACAACGAACCAAATAGAAGTATTTATGAAGAATTGCAAAATTCACACATATTCTACATGTCAGATTATTGAATCATTTCATCTTCTTATTGTTTATTATCGATTTATTCAAAACAATCATGAACCTAGTTTCCTCGTGATTGCATTACCGTTGGCGAATAGATGAAAGCTAATTAACTGTTACGCACACTCCGTATGGGGAATGGTAGTCAGGTAGATCCATAGCAACCGCCATGAAGACATTCTGGAGATCCTGATTAGGAACGGTGCCATGGTTCGCTGTCTGGGCCCATCTAAGTCCAGGGAAACCTCCGATAGTTGTAGCGCTCTGACGAAACCCGGCCAGCTAAAAAAGCAGCAACTCATGTCAAGACAGGCATTCCTGGCATTTGTATCAATAAGTCTATACTTGCTCTAAATTGTAGAGAGAGAAAATATGTGCAACTTTTTACAATGACATTTATGGTTACTGATCATTATCAAGCTTTCCTGGCCTCTGATTGCTCTTGTCAGTAATGTATACGTCTAACTCAGTATTACACAACTCACCTATCTGAAGGTAAATTACAATGATCACGGGTAGCATCTATGGTAAATTACAATGATCACGGGTAGCATCTATGGTAAATTACAATGATCACGGGTAGCATCTATGGTAAATTACAATGGTCACGGGTAGCATCTATGGTAAATGACAATGATCACGGGTAGCATCTATGGTAAATTACAATGATCACGGGTAGCATCTATGGTAAATGACAATGATCACGGGTAGCATCTATGGTAAATTAAAATGATCACGGGTAGCATCTATGGTAAATTACAATGATCACGGGTAGCATCTATGGTAAATGATGTAACATGAAAGTCAAAGGGAATGCACAATATTATTATTAACAATGCACCTGAACGAAACCAAATGGGAAGGTAGCGCTCGTTTCTCCTATTGATGCCTTATGAAACTTCTGCCGCCAGTCGCTGATCATTGCCCGGAACTGACATGAATATTGATCATAATTGTTGCGGTTAGCCTCACCTGAAACGAAAATGTAGACTAATAGATGCAAAATAACCTGTTGGTCGTCTTAGATCCCTGTTTAGAGGAATATGAAATTGCCAAACAGTTATGATGGTTATCAAATCAGATATGACAATAATAGTTGTGTATCCACATCGTGTAGAATATCAACTACATGTGTTTAGATGCTCAACGGATATCCTACCAAAATATTAAGACACTTATTAGATGATACCTTGGTACCATATGGCTCCATATATGGTAAGGTCAAGAAGAGGGCTAATCATTGGGTTCCAGAGAACAGAATTGGCGCCTGGACCTCTGTGAAACAATTTGGAAACTATTTAGTAATTCAGGCTACAGGATTTACAATTACAGCCGTGACACACATATGCATATTCTAAACATTTAATCAATGTAAGATACATAAAGTGGAATAATGGGATGTTATTAAGCAATGTGATTCCTACCGTTTTGTATGATGGGAGCAGGCAACAAGAGCATCAGGAGAAGACCAAGCCTGGATTGGCGTACCTCCCCAGTTGGACTCGATCAAACCAATAGGATACTTTCTGTCGGTGTAGAGGTACTCCCCAAAGAACCAACACACAGCCGAGAAAGAGCTGATGCCAGCTGAAAAAGATATTGCATTCCCTATGTAGTCGTATATCGAATGAGGCAGTTACCAAATAATGTGAGGTCCCAATGTGCTTTGAAAACAAAAGTACACGAAAATATTCTTCATTTATCAGCTGGTAAGGTGACAATTATCAGTAATACAGAAATAAACTGTAGCATTTAATGATCCGGGTTAGAATTGGTCTTAAGCAACCCATGCTTGTCGGAAGAGTTGACTAATACGATCGGATGTCTTGATTGATAAATGTCATCGTATCCCGGTTGCGTGGATCGATGCTCATGATATCACCCGATTGCCTTGTCCAGACTCGATTATTTACAGCCCGCCGTCCTATAGATGGAATATTGCTGAGTGCCGCAGCGTTAAACAACACACAAACAAACAGTTTATATTTATGTAATCTTAGTCATATAAGTAGCAAAGCTCATTACAGTTACTGGGTACCTATTGTCGGTGCCTGCCACTTAGTTAGTCCATTTGCTCCAAGTTCCGTGAAGGGTGTTGCCGACTGGGCGCGGTTTACTCGCATGACCCGTATGTCAACGTACTTCAGAGATGCAGCTAGTTCAGCAGTGCCATTTAGAACCTGTAATTACACACACCTACATAAACCAACACATAACCCCACTCTGCGTTCCTTATCATTGGGATCAGGTCACTCTTTGTTTTCTAATCAAGTATGCACTTTTCTCAGTTTAGTCATTTTAACACACCCCGGTTGACACTCAGGAAAGGATTGAAGGTTTAAAACCGTCGTTTTACTCATGATCAAATTTGGAGTATTCAATATTTTAGCTCATTAACCCTTACATAATTCGTCATTGAGTGAGTGAAGGATGGGGACATTTGCCTTACATGCCCAGCTGGAAACTCCATGTTACTTTGCCCTCCACACAGCCAGACATCCCCGAAGAGGACATCCGTGATTGTCACTGTCCCCTCACTCGATCTGGCGGACACGGTGAAAGGACCCTTGGCCGTCATAGCCGGAAGCTTGACCTTCCACGTCCCTTGTCCTGCAGAATCTCTGGTGACACTTCCGGTGACTGAGCCATGACCTACGATGGCCACTGTGACAGTGTCCCCTATTGTGGTGGCATGTCCCCAGATGACAGCCCGCTGAGGACCTCTCTGTAGAACCATGTGGTCCTGGTAGTAGGAGGCAAACTGCAATGCAGCATTGGTTCCTACAAACACAGGGTATTCCATTATTGCCTTGTAATAAAGGAAGGTTTCACCATGTGTGAAGGTATTAAAAATGTTCCGTGGCATGACTGGAATAATAGTTACAGCTCCCTTACTGCCACCATCATCAAACAAACTCGGTCGAAAAAGCTCAAAAGTCCCAGATAAAACAAAACTATAAGAAAGACGGTTGGAATATAAACTATACCCAACTCTAAAGGTATAAGATCAGAAACCTCGTTTTTGTCTTGAAATTTTTTTTTTTATATTAATCAAATTTGTAAACCTCGGGGAGACCCTATCAAAACTTACCACAGTCCCGTTGCAATAAGTGAAACTCTTAGTGCTGCAACTTGACATATGTCTGTGTCATATTTTACAATGTTTGCATACATAGTTTGCGGAAGTATGACCATTTTAACAATGTGCATGTTTAAAATAAAGCATCCCTTCGGGTGTTTACGTGTGTGTGATGGTGCCCCGATGACCCACCTTGTTGCTGTGAACCAACTGTACACAATCAGCTGTTTAGTTGCTGTTTGGGGCGTAAAATAACATTCACTCACATGTATTTATTGCAAATTCAATTTATGAAGTTGTTTCGGTATTCACAAAAAACAACAATATGCAATATAAACATAACCCCAAGGATCGAATTGATAATCCCTTACCTGCCAAGAACACGGCTAAAATAAGCTGTTGCATCTCCTGGTTTTCCTCAAATCCGTTCGAACTGACCACAATGACTAAAGCTTGAATATAAACTGTATTAAACGAGGTCGTTCATGTGAAGAGTCAGCTGTGGAATTTCCGTTGATAAGCAGGATCTTAATATCTGAAAACTGAGTATGTGACAATATGGTGTACATTTTCTCATCCACCGATAAGCTGTATAACCTTAGTCCTCTCTAGAATTTCAAGATTTACATCAGTGTGTTCAGTATTAATTATGTTGTTGTGTGTATATACGAATTAGTAATATATCTAAGTATTGGAATTGTTATTTCTTTCATACCAGTGCTCATCAGTGCTATGTACCTCATCTGTTATCTGCGTGAATAAAAACGATTTGAGTTTAAAATGGTTGTCTTGAGTCTTAAAAACCTTCTGTCCATGCCAACTCTTTGCCTTCGTCTTTGACATTCTGTTTTTTAGAGGCTTGTGAGTTGCAGTTTTACCCATATTAAGATGAAGTACGGGTCCAGGATCCAGGGACAATACGCCTATTCTACCATTGTTACTTCCAAACACAGTCTTAACATCATGCCATCAATATGTGAACTACAACACTTATAAAAACGAGTTCGTGTTTCGGCTGAGTGTGACAGAGGACATTTTGGTGTTGCGCAATAAAAAATCGGATTTCATTCTGCACACTGTGTCCGGGCGTATTGTGATAAAAACAAGATATTCCTCAGCATCAACAGCCATTAATATGTCATTTGTCAACAACATTTCCCTTCTTGGCTTTAAACCATCTACTGGAACAAATATTAACGCAGATAACATGGATATAACTGAAGTGAATACAATATCTGCAATGTGACTCGTCTTAATCATGGGATTAAGTTTTCAATATAAAGTTGATGAAAGGGGATATTTCCTATTGTTATACAGTGCAATAAGAATCCGTGTTCGAACTTTCGCCTTGGCATTCCCATTGCTTTTATTTGTGAAAAAAAAAGAGAAAGAATATATATACTATAAAACATAAGTCCTTGTCTCCACTGGTGTTAAGTGCGCTTATTACATGAACGTGTTGGACATAGATAGTCATACCAAAAGGCTTGAAGACCTAATATAACACGTGGTCTAAATACGCCTCAGTGGAATTCTCTGTCTTCCCACGTGAACATTACACCATCTTGATTACAACTATCTCGCCATGTCAACAATTTATTCATTTACACTTTGAATAGTGTTCTGTGTTGCTACATATATCCTGACTGCCTCTGTGATCTAGTCGATCTAGTGGAAAGAGCGTCTGGCCGAGGAGCGGAAGGTCGGCGGTTCGGTCCCTGGCCGCGCCATACCAAAAGACTTACATACTAAAAGATGGTACTTCTTGTTTCCCTGTCTGACGTTCGGCATTAGGGGATAAGACAAGGTCGGATCGGAGTCAGTACAGTGTGTCTGAGTCGGGTATCCATGTTGAACTGAGGTATGGTACATCAGTAGGGTAGCACTATTAAACAGCACACACACACACGCACACACACACACACGCACGCACACACACACACACACACAAGCACGCACGCACGCATGCACGCACGCACGCACACACACACACAAAAACACAAACACAAACACAAACACAAACACACACACATAAACAAAGATTTGCTCCGTTCTAATGTTATCTATACTCTTAAAAAATACGGATAGTTTTGGCCATAAAAGGAAAATTAGCAGACCAAGAGGTGCAATATGAAGGGGTTATAGTGTCAGTGGCAAATTTCCCGGATCAAAATGATTACAGCAAGGGCATGCAAACCATTAGTCGGAAACATGTACGATTCGGAAAATTGCACCCAGTGCATTAACAAAAGGGCCATAGAGCTGCGCGTACTAAACGTGCAGCAGCACTATGAACGGTATTAAAGTGAAGGGTGTTTGATTTGCCTGGCATCTGCGTGAATCGAACAATGACAGTTCAACAACATGTCAAGATTAACAGAAGTGCAAAGAAACAACGTCATGCAGGCAGGGGAATGCCGATCAGCTGTAGCCAGGGTTTTCAATGTAGTGCCCAGCGCCATCACAAGGCTATGGGATCGGTTTCAACAGCATGGGTCAACACGTGATTGGCCAAGGTCGGGACGACCAAGAGTAACCACCCCGCCCAAAATCGCTACATCCGATTGCGCCACCAACGTGAAAGGACGACAACAGCCACCTCAACCGCATCCCAAATACCCGGACTGCGCAGAATCTCCTACCAGACCGTACAGACCGTCAACAACGACTGCATTAGTGTCGTCAACACAGGGTATGGCCTAACTCCGATGGCGAGATATCTGGTTCAGCGACGAATCAAGATTTCTCCTCCGTCGAGGGGATGGAAGAGCACGGGTCTACAGAGGTCGGGGAGAACGTTACGCCGAAAACTGCGTACAGGAAGTGGACAGGATTGGTGGGGGTAGCGTTATGATGTGGGCGGCTATCTCTCATCATGGCAGGACAGGTATGGTCCATATCCAGGGCTCAACAATACATCAACGAAATTCTCCTACCACACGTCTTCCCAATTGCAGCCAATTGCAGGACAACGCCCGACCGCACGACCAATACAGCACGAATCACAAGAGCCGGTCGACACAACAACAGCGTTAATGTTTTTCCCTGGCCCTCCAGATCCCCGGATTTGAACCAGATAGAGCCCCTGTGAGATGAATCGGATAGACGGCTACGCCGACGTCAACCACAACCCAAGACGTTGCAGCATCTGGCTTTTGCGTTGCAGGCCGAGTGGGATACCATTCCCCAGGGTGTGATTCGCATTCTCGTCATTTCCATGGGCAGGAGATGTCAGGCCGCTATCGATTCCAACAGGGGACATACGCGTTATTGATGGTAGCTGACCCCCACCTTGGACTTTCCTATATACCGATAACTGAGATGACTACAATCACCAAGTGTCTCTCAACAACATTTTGGCTCAATACCCTGTACGGTTCCTCGTTTAAATGTATTTTCCTACCTCACACAAATCTGGTTTTGCGTTTCTTTTTTTGAAGAATATATTATCACTCGAACCAGACATTATTCAGCGAAGGAAAGCCTTCCCATAACCATAAGAAATCTCTTTGTCCACTGTACTAAACCGGCTGTATCAAAATAAAACACGCCAGAAAGCTATGATTGTGGGTTCGAATCCCGGTTCGCCCCGATTATGTTTCTAGGTTTGTCAGCACCATACACGTGCTCGTGGGTTTCACCGAAGTGGTAAACGTCTGAGACTTGCATCGCTTCGGGCTTTCCTCCCACATTAAGCTGACACACCGTGATGTAACTGGAATACTGTTAAAAGCGGCGTAAAACCCAACTCACTTACTCACTCACTTAAAACAAAACATGTCTATAAATCATAATCAAATGGTCATGATACCAGCTGTTTCATTAACACTCTTCAAGTTCTAGCTCATGGGGGTTCATCTGTGGAAGAAAATTGGCTACTTGATCATCATTGGACGATATCAGACCATCGAGACACCTGAAGCTTTGAGATGAATTTCTTGGTCAAATTACCTTGTTTTCACTTTGCCAATTCGTACATGAACGTATAAATAACAGACCATCACGGAGGTGAGCACAGTCCATGGGGATGGCTACTTCCTGCCTAAATGTTCTTTTCCCAAACATTTCACACACAAAACTTCTCAGTAAACTTCAGATGACAGTTGCTCTCTTGTTTGGCAAGTTGGCCTGAACCTTTGAACATAGACGTAACTGTATCTATGGTCACCAGGTTGAGTGACACATACCCTATGGATCAAGGTTTAGCTTACGTTTGTCGTGTAGGATAGTGGCGTACAAAGTTGACAAATCCAATGTTTTGACATAATTGAACTTTCTGAGGTTAAAAAAATCAAGGGGTTTTGGTAAATTCATATGGTAAAAATTTAACTTATCTCAAAATAGACATTGCGACTTTCCGTGTATGTTGGCAATATATATTTGAAAATGCAGAATACCTCTTGTGGTTGTATACACTCACAAACCACCGATAAGAACTTTCAAAATAGTAGTCTCTCCAATATTTCACCGTGTCCGAGGTCATCACGAGTATAAATACGGGTCGCGTCCCTCGCCAGCAATCAGTTTACAGCGAGCTTCAGTAGAGTCCAGAGTGAACCAACAGTTTAATATCAGTTTGACCCGTGAAAATCCGGGGTAAAAAATAGGTTTCAGCAACCAATGCTTGCCGTAAAAAAGCGACTATGCTTGTCGTAAGAGGCGACTAACGGGATCGGATGGTCAGGCTCGCTGACTTGGTTGAAGCATATCATTGATCCCAATTGCGTGGATCGATGATCATGATATCAATCACTGGGCTGTCTGGTCCAGACTCGATTATTTACAGACCGCCGCCCTATTGCTGGAATAATGCTGAGTGCGGCATAAAACAACAAACTAACCAAATATTATCAGTTCACAGCGAGCTTAAGGTTTTACGGTATTTTAGTATAAGTATGCCACCTCGAAGGGGCTTGGGATAGGCTGAGGACAAGTGGAGGTTGAGGAGTAGGCTGAGGAGGCGTCCAAGGAAGGTTGAGGAGTAGAGGGAGAGGTCACCGCCACCCACACACAGCCAGGACCAGGCCAAGGACCAACCTCCACCCCTCAGTCCCAGTTTGGGGAGATCACCCACAATCACAACGACACCCACACAGAGCCAGGACCAGGCCAAGGAACAGCCTCCACCCCTCAGTCCAAGTTTGGGGAGATCACCCACAATCACAACGACCCCCGCACACAGCCAGGAGCAGGCCAAGCCCAGCCTCCACCCCTCAGTCCCAGTTTGGGGAGATCACCCACAATCACAACGACACCCACACAGAGAAAGTGTGCAGGTAGCCTTAGTTGAACGCGTGTCATTGTACCCCGACGGTACGAGATGCTGTTTATAACATCAACAGCTGGTGTGTCTGGTTCAGACTCGATCATTTACAAAGTTGTCGTCATATAGCTGGAATATTTCTGAGTGCGGCGTTCAACGTCATGGCATCACTCACTTTGCCGTAAACGTTAAAAATACGCAACCTGTTAATAAATTGAAGTTTATTTTTTTGTATTTAATACATCACGCTATGTCGTTTTCTAGTTGACTTTTAGTCTATGATAATCGCCTTCATATTGGCGAAACATTGACTTACAATATGTTGTTGAAGGACTTCCGACACACGACAGTTGGAGTTTGGAACACAAACACACCAGTATGCTTCTTTTATGTCATTTATTAACTCTTTCGAAATGTAATATTTTACTAAGAATGTAGGCTTTTCAGTAATTATAAACACCTATTGTTGATTAACTCAAATCGGTAACCACAGCATACGACCGCTGCAGCGAGTGTAAGCGTTCACCTGGAACGAACTTTCAAATAACTACATGAAGCCAGGCAACAGGCATTTCTCGTGATATCCTAGTTATGTAGGACATTATTAAAACGTTTGTAGTTTGTCTGGATAAATTATATACTAACGGGGAAAAGTAACTGTGCTTCATATATTCTGAAATTAAATAATGCATCTTTCAATACATATTGATGAAGACAAGTGACTGTGCTTTACATGCTCAATGTCGTTTGGGGTTGAACTGAACTGGTATGGGTGGCATGATAACTCATCGGAGAATTCATCATTGTTAATTCGACATCGTTCGAGATCATGCTCTCCCATGTGTGCAAATGCAGGGGCGTAACGTCAGATTGCAGCAGGATAACATGCCCGCCCGGATATTGTACATGTTGTAGCAGACATATTGAGGCAGCATAACATTTCTGTACTGCAATGACCGGCTGTATCTCCAGACTTCTCCCCCATAGAACATATCTTGGATGAGATGGTTCGACGCCTACGACAGGACCAGACCCAGCCGGTAACGCAAGCTCAGTTGGGCCAATCTTTGGTTGACATTTGGTACAGCATCCCCCAGGCTGTCTTCAACCATCTGGTGTGTACAATGCGCCGCCGCTGCCTCGACTGTATCAACGCAAATGTCGTCACACGGGATATCATTGTTAACTGAATGTTTTACACCACCCCTCTTTTAGGGCGTGTCGCTCTGTCTCACGTTACAAGGTACGGGTTTTGTTATGATAAAATATTGATGAGACGAATGACCAAACAGTATGTTGTTATATTCAATAACATAACACTGACACCACTTTAATTTTAAGCACAGCTAAATTTTCCCGTTGGTATATAAATACAATTACAAGCAGATTAATGAAGCTCTTTGCAACTAATCCAGGTTAAGTTGTTGAATGTTGCGTTTCGGTCACAGAACCGTGTAGATATGCAGAAGACCGCCAACTCCGTTGGAGATGTGTTGCCGAGCTTGCTTGCTTTCCAACTTCCAGATCCCGCGAGATTCAAGATTGGCGAGATTCGCTCGAAGTATTTCACTTTCGAAGTTGTAGTCGTATGAGTTCATCATGACATGCCCACCTGGAAACACGGATGTTTGAATGACGATTGTATCGACGCTCATGAACAACAGCCTTGACTCTTCGATCATTGTGTAGTCTTTTGTTGTTGTTTTGTTCGTTGTTTAACGCCGCACTCAGCAATATTCCAGCTATAAGACGACGGGCTGTAAATAATCGAGTCTGGACCAGATAATCCAGTGATTTGACACCATGAGCATCGACCCACGCAACTGGGATACGATGACATGCATTAACCAAGTCAGCGAGCCTGACCACCCGATCCCGTTAGTCGCCTCTCACGGCAAGCAAGGGTTGCTGAAGACCTATTTTACCCCGGATCTTCACAGGTCTCATGTAGTCAGCCACGGCCACAGATGTAACTGAGATACCCACATGTGTCACAAATGCCATCCATGCAACAGTTAGCACTAGCCAACTTCATACGCCGCAGTCAACTCAATGATTCCACCGTTGGCTTCTACTGTAACGTACCACACACACAATATCAACAGATACACACACAGTACCAACGCACGCATAATACCAACACAAAACATACCAAACACACAATACCAACACATACACAAATATCAACACAAACACTCATAATAACAACACCAGCACAATACCAACACTCAAGAAACTAAACACACAGAACCAACACACACACACACACACACACACACACACAATACCAACACTCACAATATATAACACAACCCAAAATACCAACACAGAATAATACAAAGCACGTTAATATTAATGACACAAACACAAACACAACACACAGAATACTAACACAACCACAACACCAACACACACATTACTAACACGAAAACAACACCAACACACACGTTACTTACGCAAACACAACACCAACACACACATTACTAACACAAACACAACACCAACACACACGCTACTAACACACACACAAACACAACACCAACACACACATAAACACACAAACACAACACCAACACACACATTACTAACACCAACACAACACCAACACACACATTACTAACACAAACATAACACCAACACAAACATTACTTACACTAACACAACTACAACACACATTACTAAAACACACACAGTACCAACACACACACACATGTAACTTACACCAACACAACACCAACACACATGTTACTAACACAAACACAACACCAACACCAACACACACACACATTACTAACACAAACACAACACCAACACTCACATTACAAACACAAGCACAACACCAACACACACATTACTAACACAAACACAAACACAACACCAACACTCACATTACTAACACAAACACAACACCAACACCAACACACACACACATTACTAACACAAACACAACACCAACACTCACATTACAAACACAAGCACAACACCAACACACACATTACTAACACAAACACAAACACAACACCAACACTCACATTACTAACACAAACACAACACCAACACACACATTACTAACACAAACACAACACCAACACACTCAATACTAACACAAACACAAACACACGCCAACACACACAATACTAACACCAACACAACACCAACACACACATTACTAACACAAACATAACACCAACACTCACATTACAAACACAAGCACAACACCAACACACACATTACTAACACAAACACAAACACAACACCAACACTCACATTACAAACACAAGCACAACACCAACACACACATTACTAACACAAACACAAACACAACACCAACACTCACATTACAAACACAAGCACAACACCAACACACACATTACTAACACAAACACAACACCAACACACACACACTACTAACACAAACACAACACCAACACACACATTGCTAACACAAAAACAACACAAACACACGTTACAAACACAACAACAATACCAACACTCACAATATATAAACAAGAAAAACACAATACCAACACACAGACATACCAATGCACACAATACCAACATTCACAATACGACAAAAAAACCAAACACACACAATATATAACACACACGCAATACCAACACACACACAACAAACACACTCACACACACACATACAATACCCCCCGCCCCCCCCCCCCCCCCCCCCCCCCTCCCCACACACACAAACAATAAAAACTCACGAACAATTCCAACACACAATAACAACTCACTCACAACACGAACATACACACAAGAACAATACACACACATGTACAATCCCAACACATACGCCTAGGGATCACTGGATTGTTTTCCTCTAATCCAATCTCGGTGGCTCTCACGGCAAGCAAGGGTTGCTGAAGACCTATTTTACCCCGGATCTTCACAGGTCTCATGTAGTCAGCCACGGCCACAGATGTAACTGAGATACCCACATGTGTCACAAATGCCATCCATGCAACAGTTAGCACTAGCCAACTTCATTACTAACACCAACACAACACCAACACACACATTACTAACACAAAAAACAACACCAACACACTCAATGCTAACACCAACACAAACACACGCCAACACACCCAATACTAACACCAACACAACACCAACACAAACATCACTAACACAAACACAACTACAACACACATTACTTAAACACACGCAGTACCAACACACACATTACTTACACCAACACAACACCAACACACACATTACTAACACAAACATAACACCAACACAAACATTACTTACACTAACACAACTACAACACACATTACTAAAATACACACAGTACCAACACACACACATGTAACTTACACCAACACAACACCAACACACATGTTACTAACACAAACACAACACCAACACTCACATTACAAACACAAGCACAACACCAACACACACAATACTAACACAAACACAAACACAACACCAACACTCACATTACTAACACAAACACAACACCAACACACACATTACTAACACAAACACAACACCAACACTCACATTACTAACACAAACACAACACCAACACACACATTACTAACACAAACACAACACCAACACACACATTACTAACACAAACACAACACCAGCACACACACACTACTAACACAAACACAACACCAACACTCACATTACTAACACAAACACAACACCAACACTCACATTACTAACACAAACACAACACCAACACACACATTACTAACTCAAAAAACAACACCAACACACTCAATACTAACACCAACACAACACCAACACACACATTACTAACACAAACATAACACCAACACAAACATTACTTAAACACACGCAGTACCAACACACACATTACTTACACCAACACAACACCAACAAACACATTACTAACACAAACATAACACCAACACAAACATTACTAACACAAACATAACACCAACACAAACATTACTTAAACACACGCAGTACCAACACACACATTACTAACACCAACACAACACCAACACACACAATACTAACACAAACACAACACCAACACACACATTACTAACACAAACATAACACCAACACAAACATTACTTACACTAACACAACTACAACACACATTACTAAAACACACACAGTACCAACACACACACATGTAACTTACACCAACACAACACCAACACACATGTTACTAACACCAACACAACACCAACACCAACACACACACACACATTACTAACACAAACACAACACCAACACTCACATTACAAACACAAGCACAACACCAACACACACAATACTAACACAAACACAAACACAACACCAACACTCACATTACTAACACCAACACAACACCAACACACACATTACTAACACAAACACAACACCAACACACACATTACTAACACAAACACAAACACACGCCAACACACACAATACTAACACCAACACAACACCAACACACACATTACTAACACAAACACAACACCAACATTCACATTACTAACACAAACACAACACCAACACACACACACTACTAACACAAACACAACACCAACACACACATTGCTAACACAAAAACAACACAAACACACATTACAAACACAAAAACAATACCAACACTCACAATATATAAACAAGAAAAACACAATACCAACACACAGACATACCAACGCACACAATACCAACATTCACAATACGACAAAAATACCAAACACACACAATATATAACACACACGCAATACCAACACACACAGAACAAACACACTCACACACACACATACAATACCCCCCCCCCCCCCCCCCCCCCCCTCTCCCCACACACACAAACAATAAAAACTCACGAACAATTCCAACACACAATAACAACTCACTCACAACACGAACATACACACAAGAACAATACACACACATGTACAATCCCAACACATACGCCTAGGGATCACTGGATTGTTTTCCTCTAATCCAATCTCGGTGGCTCTCACTCATGTTACATAATGCGATCACAACACACTTTTCACATACATGCACACTTGACACATTGATGGTAAGGTGAAGGTGCCTGTAGTGCGTACCTGGTTTGGTGACACGCGCCAACTCCTCCAGAGCCTTGACTGGGAGTTTCTTCATGATCTCTCGACTCAGACCAGACATTGTTACAGCTGTGTAGGTGTCTGTAAAAATACACCTTCTATTAGTAGGTTTTATATCAACTCGAACACAATCACATATATCTGATTTATATGAGAACCTCTCTTTTCATATATGAATTTAAACTGACTTTACAAGTTATTTGTTTGTCAAGACGCATTTTACACGTTTCACAAATATGCTACATATGTACGCGTGCCTCCTCGATCGTTAGGGTTACTTGTGTTAGGTTAGGGTAGGTAACACCCAACTCTACCCCAATCACTTTCGATTCTTGCATGAAAATAGTGACGAACATTTCCTGTAGCGGTTCCATACAATCATCATGGCACCGAAAACCCTCAAGCGATTATTATTTTTGTGTGTGTTTTTTCAACACAGTACATGTTAATCTCTGTGGTAATGCCGAGCAAAGAAAACTGATGGGGAAATATTTTTTAAACATTCTTAGGAACTTATTTAAAAGGGGGCAAATGAGAAACAATCTCAAACACGTCAAGGCCATGTCGGGAATGTAAATCCGAAAATTTAGCCCGGAACAGGTGTCCAGTTGCCATATACAAAGTGTACCAGTTGAGACGGACATGTGAAGATCCGGGTTAGAAGTGGTCTTTATTTCAACCAACGTTTCTCGTAAGAGGAGACTAACGAGGTGGGGGTCGAGCTCGCCGTCAAGGTTGATGCATGTCATCGTATCCCAATTGCGTAAATCGATGTTCATGATGTCAATCACTGGATTGTATGGTCAAATCTCTGAATCTGACTAGTTTTCACGCTGGTGACAGTCGGCCGTTAAGTTTGTCTTAATGTGACTGTCACGTAACCTTGTTTGTTTTCCTCCAGATCACCGCATCACGTGAAGGAAAACACTTATTTGATAGCACTTCTGTATCACTCTGGATAATTGCATATTTTACTTCATTATGCCGCCATATTGTTAAAATATTGTAGAGCGTTGGCTTAAACATCCAACAAACAGCTGGTAATGGGAAAAACTGCATAACGATATTAGATTTTTTGAAGCAAGAACACCAACATATGTCAAACAAACAGAAAACGATTAAGATTTAGATAGCCACGTCGACAGAGAAAGATATTTGGCGCTACTCTATCGGGTACTGTGACGTCTAATTCATATGGATCAGCTTTATCTCATCATCAGTTATATCTCACCATCAGTCATATCTCCCTGTCAGTTATATCTCACCATCAGCTATATCTCACATCAGCTATATCTCACCATCAGCTATGTCTCACATCAGCTTTATCTCACCATCAGCTATATTTCACCATCAGCTATATCCCACAATCAGCTTTATCTCACCATCGACTGCCTCCGTGGTCTAGTGGTAGAGCATCCGCCCGGAGAGGGGAGGGTCCGGGGTTCGATCCCCGGCCGCGTCATACCAAAAGACGTTTAAAGATGGTACTTGTTGTTACCCTGCCTGGCGCTCGGCATTAAGGGGCTAAAACAAGGCCTGGGCGGCTCGGAGTCAGTATACTGTGTCTGAGTGGGATATTCATGTTAAACTGCGGCATGGTATCTCAGTGAGCTAGCACTATAAATCGGCATCAGTCCGGACTAGTACAAGCAGCCACATAAAACACACACACGTACATACACTTCGCTATATAAGTGCAATAATCTTGGACGCGACGTTAAACCCCATTTCACCTCACCTTATCTCACCATCAGCTATATCTCACATCAGTTATATCTCACCTTCAGCTATATCTCACTATCAGCTACATCTCACCATCAGCTATATCTCACCATCAGTTATATCTCACCATCAGTTATATCTCACCATCAGCTATATCTCACCATCAGCTATATCCAGGGTGTTGTCCCCAAGCATATCACAGATGTATCGCTCATACAAGTTTTTCTTCTTGGCCTGTTCAAGCATTCTTTCGGCCGGCTCAAGACCATCGATGTGCACGAATCCATGCTTTCTCAGCTTCAACAGAGTTTTCATATTGTTTCATATTATAGACATATTAAACTTTTTGCCGTGTGGTTCCCACTACCCAGGCCTGCAGTACGAGGCGACTAATATGGTCGTCGGGTGGTCAGGCTCCATACCATCTCACCCCGACGGTATGATGCGCTGATCATATATCAACCACTGGTGCGGCTGTACACCACGTATATACTATTTTTCTAAATTACCTAGTTTGGTAGCAAGGTAAATATGCCCCTAATTGGTCATATTGTTGTACTTTGGTTATTAGAGTTAAGATTATAGTCTTAAAGATCATTGCTAACGCTATCACGTCACCCTTTTTCTTTTAAAAACCCATGCTCGGTGAGTAAACAAAACGCCTGAAAACCCCACATCGAAATTTGTACATCTCCGTTATCACAGGAATCAACCAGTGCGTCTCTGTCTTCTCCCCAGCCATCCATTACGCGGTGACCTCCCCAGAATCTTGGGGTTGAATTATCGCTTTATTTCAAAATGACGTTCTTGTGTATTGACATAATAGTGCCATGACGTCATATTTGAATGTGCCAAGCGTACTTCATGGTTCTTACAGCTACCGTAATCTTTGCGGTAAGTTTTCTCTTTCAGACGCTGCAAAACGTTACTCGTTTTGTAATCAGTAGGCCTATGCAGGCAGTGTGACATTAGCAATAAAGAGATCTTCATTCCAAGTTAAAATCGAATTAAGGCATTAATAAATTATCACCATCTGACTTCCATGTATAGGTGGGTATTTTCTCAAGATTGTAATATCTACTAGAGGCCACCAGGCATATATATATTGTCTCGGGAAGATGCCGAACAAGGGATGAGACCTGTTACATACATGTTTGTCCTCTATCTGTTTTGAAAGAAACTACACAGGCTTTGACAAGTAGCATGTCATCCCTTACCTCAACAGATACCAATCCGGTACCGGCAGCTACATCCAGGATCCTGATATTCCCTCGGTTGCTAGGATACTGGCATGCCACGCTCTCACCCATCCATTGAGGCCCGGTCCAACGGATTGTAATCTGTACCTTAAAACATAGTTACGTCCATGCATTTCAAAGAGGGGAAATATATGTCATTATACATGTACCCCTCCCTATCTGAGACTACGGAACACATATGACATCAAGTTGAAATAACTACGTCTTTGAAAGAATCAATGACCAAGAAACAACATATTACTGAAACAATACAATAACTATGTTTCTTAAACTGTCTGAGAATCCCCAAGAAAAAGCCTGAACGCAGTGCAGACCAGCAACCCACTCTACATCATCTTAGCGTGGGTCATTATGAAACTGTCATGGTGTCAAGTACAATATTACTTTTAATCAATTTTGATGAAAATTCATTGATATTTTTACAATGCATACTTTTTATCTCTCCATTTCACTCTTATTTTTGTTTTGGTCGTGGTATCCTCACCATGCAAGTCTGTTACCTTGTCCCCACAGTATGGGTATTATGTCTTACTTACACAGTCTAATTCTACACATTGTACACTGCCTAATGCTTTTGTACCTACTATGTGGATAGCGGGAGTGGAATGAAAGCATTATTGTGTAACATTGCTGGTTCAGCTAGAGTGAGTGAGTGAGTGAGTGAGTTGGGTTTAACGCCGCAGTATTCCAGTCATATCGCGGCGTGTCAGCTTAATGTGGGAGGAAAGCCCGAAGTGATGCAGGTCTCAAACGGGTATGGTGCTGACAAACCTAGAAACATAACCGGGGTGAACCGGGATTCGAACCCACATTCATAGGTTTCTGGCGTGCCCAAGGGACGCAACTCTGCACAGCGAATCGCGGCGCCTCAGACGACTGGGCCACCCGTTCCCCCTTGGTCCAGCTAGAAATATTACTAGTTTGTGATGTAACTAATTCATTTACGCAAGGAACACGTCCCATTTTAATTCTGGAAACCCATTTGTCCAGAAACTCTTAATGCTGTGGCCAGTCTCGGTCAAAGATATTTCCAAAATTCAACTTGCTGTTTTCATGGGTACATACTTAAGAAGAAAAAATGAAGGAAAAAAGTTTCGAAAACTAAAAATGTAAACTATGTCGCCCATGGGCGAGAATATTCCCCTTTGCTCAAAACTCATGTTATTGGTTTGCAAATGCATAAAGGTGTTTCTAAAAGTATAATGACACATAATACTTTTAGTTTTAACTTAATCCAACTAATTTGTGGCGCTATTAAAATATTTCACCCATTGCAGGCTCATTGGCGAGAATATTTTCCTTTGCTCAAAAATCTTGGGCGAAAAAGTTGGAGATTTATAGGTAGAGTTTTGTCCCGGACTTGTCCTGGATTGCTGACCAGATCCTGGACCAGCACAAGGACCACCTCGCGTATTGACACCAGTCTTGGGAAGCTGTACACCAGTGCACGCCCATCGCTAGTCATGGTACAGTACATGGGTCAGGATGGGTTCGAACATGATATCCACAGTTACCAGGACCTCTTTGACTTCCTGGTGGATTGTGATATCAAGACAAGCCTAGGGTTCATCTCCGACACAACAGACTGTACCAGCCCATCAGCAATGAGGAAGAGAGCACAGCCAGGAAGCTCCTGGTCGGCCTACTTTCCAAGTCGCTCCCAGGGTTCTTGTCTAACACACATTCGCCAGCCGACGCCGTGCCTTCAACCGGTTGACCCAAACCCCCACCAACCCAAGCCCACCTTTGGCCTAAAGTCTGTTTTGTAGATTAGAGTTTTTAAGGAATTTAGATATCTGTGCGTATATGGCTGTTGTATTTGTTGGTTGTAATAATAGGGTGTTGTTGTTTTTGTATTGTGGGGGAGGGATTGATACAGTTGTAGGTGATGTTGTTTGTATTGGAGACATTGGTTGAATATGTGGTCTTCTGTAGTGTTGCAATTTGTGCAGTTTGAATGTGGATGTCTGTTTTGACTATACAATTTTGCATTTAATTTGAATTGGCCGCTATGGATTTTATTTATTACTTTATCTGAAAAGACCGACCTGGTAAAATTGCGGCATTTTGTAACTGGCTTATTGAAAAGGGACTTTATCCATGTGGAATTACAATTTTGAATATTAATTTGGAAATCTTGACTTTTTATGGGGTTTTTTTTTTTGATAGAAAGAACGGAATTCCCCAATGTAATATAGCACAGTACTTATAGCACATTTGAGATTATACTCAGGTTATGGAGAAGTGTAATCTATATAACGTGTTCTTATTCTACCAAACAATGTATTTAATGAAAATAATGCAAAATAGGCTCAACGGTTGAAATGTGTTTTTTTTATCAATCTTCACTGAGTTTCCTATATTCTATATTATTGAAAAAAAAGAAGTCTTTGCTAATAAAACACCCGCGGATGTAGATGTGTGGATGTGTGTTTTTTTATTTGCGTTTTATTAGTTTTGATTAGTGGTGGTTTAATTTTTGTAGGTGATTATATGCGGCCTAGTAGTTCAGTTTAAATAAGGAATATGCCTAATGCCTTGAAGGTTTGTGTATTGTTTAGCGGATTTAGAAGTGTTGCTACTGTTAGTTGAGTGTTGCAGTCTAGTTTGGTTTGGAGTGTTGTTCTGTGTTGTTTGTAGTGTGTGCAGTGTAGTAGTACATGTTCTGGTGTTTCTAGTTGGCTGCAGTGTGGGCATTTACCTGTTTTGTGTTTCTTTATTTTATGTAAACATGAGTCTAGTTTTGTGTGACCTGTTTGCAGTTTAATTATTACCCTGTCATTATGTTTGGATACTTGAGTTGCTTTTGGAGCATATGTTTTAGTTTGCAGTTTGAGTTTTGGTACTTATTTTGCCACTTTTTGAAAAATAATCCCTCAGTGACGCTCTTTATTTCGTTTTTGGACATTGGTAAGTTAAGGCTTACTACTGGTAGTTTGGGGATGCTTTGGCTGCTTTGTCAGCGTGTTCGTTTCCGAACACTCCAACGTGGGGAGGGATCCATAAGAATTCTATTTGCTTGCCTAGTTTACTGAGTTGGTTGGAGTCTTTAAGTACTTGGTGTATTAGTTAAAGGCGATTCCTTGTGTTTTTGCTTTTAATAACTGCTTTGAGAGGCATTTAGAAATTGGAGTACTAAGTAAGGATGAGATATATGGATGAACAACTTCTTTATTACAATTAGGAGCGACGTTTCGGTGTAGGCTCTAACACCGTTATCAAGCTAGTGATGTACAGAGAATGGTTGACAAGTATATATACGGGAGGCAGTGTTTATACAGTGGAGTAGATTTAAGATGCAGTTACAACTGAAGTAGAGAAGCCTGTCATGTACACAGACGGGTAAAACATATTGGCCGGTGAAGCATGTACTATAAACAAAAAGGATGAAGCCAGTAATATAAACAACAACTTGCTTATGACTGATGCCTCCCTGTCTTTCAAAATATTAATTCGTCAACAGATTGCCGTATATCATACACAGTCCTCTTATTTGATAAAAACAGAAAGTAATTATAAGATAACTAGAAGATCAACTGGACCCTTATATCAGCTGGCGGTCCTGTTTAGTAGTAAGTATAGTAATGAATAAAACTTGATAAGTCAAAGTTACTTGGGGTGTCTCCGATAGATAAGATTTTCAGTTTATTGACAACTTTGAGTAATGGGAATTACGAACATGTAGTCACACTTTCTCTAATGTATCTGCTAATCAGAAATTTCAGTTGTCATGTAACATCGCTGTTACTCAAATCTGGTAGTTTTTTTTATCGGGTATGATAGTTGATTCGTCTAGTCGTTCAATCATTCTTACCCGATCGAATGATTGGCACATTCCGGCAGAGAGTTTATTTTTGTATTTTATCATATACATGTATTGTTAATTGTAGTAGATACTTACATAACTGTATCTTAGAACGCAGAACTGATAACACCCAAACATGTAACTAGTACACAGAGAATTGTTACATATCATTTCCTGTATATTCCTTTTTGAACAAAGGGCCCAGATATATGCTGTAATCGGTGCAACTGTGTCCACATATACAGTCTCAGCTGGCTAACGTCACATTTTCCATCAAGTCAGCTCTATTTCTGAAGCATAATTTAATTTCCGAGGACAGTTTGAGTGAAAGGAATAAAAAAGAAATTCGTTTAATAATCATATTTAACAAACCTACATGTATTTGACCAAATTCAAACACTTACACACCCGTTGTACATTTATTTCCTTTGGGCCTGGACCATTACAGTGTACATGTACATAACTTTTAACTGTATACTATATATTCATGATTATCAATAAAAAATATTCTCGTGCCATTATTCTCGTTCCTAATAACAATGAGCACATTCTGAGTCTAAATCTGCAAGATTACAAACAAAATCGAGACCGAAAAGGGGTGTTGGATCGTAAAGACGTGTAATACCCCGTTTACATGCACAACATTTACTACCGTAAATAATTTTACACAGGTGTAACTATACATACGTGCGTATATGTAAATTTACTATGCGTTCACATGAAATTGTGTAAGGCACACATATTCGTCAGTCTGTTCACGACTTTCAACACAAAACAGGTTGTTTTCCAATCAAAGTGGCATGAGAAGAGAGTTACTGCACCGAAATTTTTCGCGTGAAGCAACGTGTGATTGATTTAATTTGAAGATCATCCTCTTACGTTGACATAAACGTTCACATTGCAATATTTACACACAGTGCAAATTTACATTTTACATTTGCACCTGCTCCAGACATGATGCAAATTTGCTCCTTGTGTAAATATACACACATGAGTAAACGTGTTCACATGACAAGTATACTCACGTATGTCTTTATACATACGTGTGCACATATACACACACATATATAGAGGCGCATGTGAACGGGTTTTTCGTTTCCCTAAGACCGAAAAGGAGAGAGTTGGATCGTGAAGCGAGTGTCATTGGAGCGTGAGCCACGGTAACGGTATAGCGAGACAGCGATCGTACTATAGCGCAGTAATTGCGCGGATGGTAGAGTTCGGGCTGCCCTCGGTAAACTGCATTGTTGCCACAAAATCCTTCTTTGTGTAATGCAAACGATACGAACATTGATAACGGGTGATAAAAAAGACTATGTTTGAATAATCTTTATGTAATTTATCATTTGTTCTCGTTCAATATATTGTACTTAACATTTGAAGTCATTTTAAAGTTTCAAGGAGTACTGTAAAGTAAAAACAGTCACCATATGGGATGTACATGTATAACTTGTCTTCCAATAACGTGGGTCAAAAAAATAATTGGTCCCTAAAAGTTTCGCAGATACTCCACAGTAGCTCCGATGTGGGTTTATGTAGCTACGCAGAAATTTGACAAACATTCTGCGAAGTCACAGCTTAGCCACGTAAAAGTTTTACCCCAAAAATTGGTAAAAGACTTTTGCGCTGTAGCGTACCTAGTGTGACCCTCCACAAAACGTTTCCGCCATATGAGTTGATTTATAAGGCCCTGCTGATGATGCAAACAACGAGTAGAAAAGATAAAAAAACATTTAGTGCACATTAAAACCATAAAATTTCGACATCGACGTAGATGATTTCGACTGTAGCATGAGTAACTTAGCAATGAATTGCAATTAGGTCATCACTGTGGAGTAACCAATCATTGACCTGGAATTCGATATCACAATATCTTTGATACCATTTATCTTAAATAGTTTCTCGCCCAAAAGTATATAAGAACAGAGAATGTCACATAGCGTCCTTTGGTATCAAATATATGAACTCAAGTTGATTAAAGTAGCAAACATCTGAGGAGCCTTTCTACTTTGGTCATGGTGTGTTGGTATATTTGATATAATGAATACATGAGGGTGATGTTGTATTTATTATCCCTTTATCATTAAGAATCAATAAATAAAAAATCGGTATAAATAGATGAATGCGTTGACATTTGAGACCATTTCGAAATTATTTAGGCTCATCATGCCTAACAATTTCAAAAGCATTAATTTTCTTTATTCATCTCTAACTTTTTCGGCAACGCTTTTTCTTTGTTACTGTTCGATACATATGAGAAATCACTACCAAGATATCATATGTTAGTGCGTACATAAATTAAATAAAAGGCAAAGTTGAACGAAAGGCCTTTATTTTGCTCCCATGGTAAATTGCTAAAATTATTGGGGACATACATTGATATGTATGTACGTGTGTCATTGAAAACCTTGTTTGCTAAGATATGCATACAGTTAATCTTGAATTTCTATAACCATAAATAGTTGAACAATGTTAAATTTATTTGAAATATGTGTCATGATACATTTAGTTCAACATCTGTGCCTTTTCCTGAACCAGGAAAGGAGCTAAATTTTGAGCCAAGGAATATATTTCCTGGGCCATGCACCAAACATTTTATCCCACGAGTCAAGCATTTTAATAACGGTAAACATTGGCTGAATTAAGTTTAGGAAATAAGTTGCAAAATGATTCAGGATAATTGTAGACACAAACTTATGTATTTGCAATACAAGCGAGAAAATTCACTTCGATATTCCTAAAGAGTTGTTTGTGCGATTCCGACCATATGATGGACGTGTGTTCATGAATCACTGTCAAATAGTGAGGATAACTTGAACTTTGAGCAAATGAATTAGTGTCATGATACTTGTTGACACACCTATATGTATTTGCAAATAAAAAAATTCAGTTTTGTTCAAATGAAACTTTGATCGCCCCTGAGCCAAACGTGTTTGCTCATGGGCAAAATATTTTAATAAGGCTTTTAATTACTTGGATTAAGTTTAAAATGAATTGAATTATGTGTCATTGTAGAAACACTTTTATATATTTCCAAACCCAAAACATGAGTTTTATGAAAGGAAAATATTCTGGCCCATGGACCTGCTTGTGATGATGACTTCTGAGAGCTTGTGATGGCACGGCACTGGTTCATTCAGTAATATTATAAAACACAAAAGTGAAAAAAATGCTTCATTTCGTTATGTCATCAAACGCAAAAGTGAAAAAAACCTATTTTATTCAGTAATATTATCAAAATGCATTAGTTATAGCAATGTTCCATTTTGTAATATTATCAAATGCATTAATGACAGAACTGTTTCATTTAGTAATATTACCAAATGTATATGTGGTCGTCGTGTTTCATTTAGTTATATTATCAAACGCATAAATGACAGCACTGTTTCAGTCAGTAATATTATCAAAAGAATAAATCATAACATTGTTTCTTTTAATTACTAAATATCTATCCAATTCACTCCCGCAACTCAACACTGATGAACACATTTGGTACTGAAAGTTAGTGTATTACCTCATCGTATTCTTCACTTATCTTGTCAAATCTCTGGATAATAGTTGCGTTATCTATTCCCCTCTCTGTCGTGAAGTTCAAGACACGATCAATTGTCTCCTCTTCTTCTTTCGAATAGCATGTTTCCGTCATATTGAATGTATGTAATAATCCCTGGGACTGGAAAATAAATATCACGATAATTATGAGACCATAGACTAGACTTTCTTGTTCTTCTTTTTCTATGGTACTTGCACTGTAGTATGTCAATGTTAATGAGTCTTGTATAATGTTATGCACCTAAAGAATAATAACTTTTTGAGGCCTACACCAAAGCCTCGTATATACATGTACATGCACTGCATAATCAATTTCATAGAACAAATGCATGAGCAGGCACAGACAATAGATAAGGAGCTCTTCACCCTTACACGCTACATCACTACAGGATCACTACACGGAGAACCCTTTTTACCACAGCAGAATATGTACTGCAGACAAACAGAATATAGGTCACATAATACAGTATATATACCACAGTTGTAGAATACGGAATCACTATAAACCAACTTATTCACCAGAATACAGTACATATACTTAAGACACATAATCCAGTATATTTACTACAGATACCAATTACAATATATTTATTTATATACATGCAGAATACCGTATATATACTGCATAGAATAGTATAGAATATAGGGTCATTATATGCCTACACCTTCCCCACAGCGCAAGATATACTACAGACACAAAATACAGTATATCTGCTACAGACACAGAATACATGATCCCCACAGCGCAGGATATACTACAGACACACAATACAGTATATCTGCTACAGACACAGAATACATAATCCCCACAGCGCAGGATATACTACAGACACACAATACAGTATATCTGCTACAGACACAGAATACATGATCCCCACAGCGCAGGATACACTACAGACACACAATACAGTATATCTGCTACAGACACAGAATACATGATCCCCACAGCGCAGGATACACTACAGACACACAATACAGTATATCTGCTACAGACACAGAATACATGATCCCCACAGCGCAGGATACACTACAGACACACAATACAGTATATCTGCTACAGACACAGAATACATGATCCCCAAAGCGCAGGATATACTACAAACATCGAATACAGGATCTCAACGAGGCAGGATATACTACAGACACAGACTACAGTATACACACTACAGACACACAATACAGTATACACACTACAGACACACAATACATGATATATACTACAGACACACACTACAGGATATATACTACAGACACAGACTACAGTATACACAATACAGTATACACACTACAGACACACAATACAGTATACACACTACAGACACACAATACAGTATACACACTACAGACACACAATACAGTATACACACTACAGATACAAAATGCAGGATATATACAACAGACACAGAATACAGTATACACACTACAGACACACAATACAGGATATATACTACAGACACATACTACAGGATATCTACTACAGGCACAGAATAGAGTATATGTACTATATGTACTATATGCACGCACTACAGGATATATAATATAGACACACAATACAGGATAAATACTACAGACACGGAATACAGTATGCACACTACAGGATATATACTACAGATAAAATACAGTATATATACTACAGACACACAATACAGGATATATACTACAGACACAGAATACATGATCCCCACAGCGCAGGATACACTACAGACACACAATACAGTATATCTGCTACAGACACAGAATACATGATCCCCACAGCGCAGGATACACTACAGACACACAATACAGTATATCTGCTACAGACACAGAATACATGATCCCCAAAGCGCAGGATATACTACAAACATCGAATACAGGATCTCAACAAGGCAGGATATACTACAGACACAGACTACAGTATACACACTACAGACACACAATACAGTATACACACTACAGACACACAATACATGATATATACTACAGACACACACTACAGGATATATACTACAGACACAGACTACAGTATACACACTACAGACACACAATACAGTATACACACTACAGACACACAATACAGTATACACACTACAGACACACAGATAGCAGGATGCGCATGCGTCAGAACAGCAAGTCGCTGAAAAGTCTTCTCTACCAAAATCATCTTATATCTGTATCATTATCAGATATTGTGACGCAAAAGTCATGTAAGGTGATTAAGATGATACCTACAATGAACTCATGTTAGTGAATCATGAAGATGATTTTGGGTTTTGCTTAAAATCAAGTGTCCAAAATGTGTAGAAATGTGAAGGAGAATCTACACAAGTGGACCAGTGCTGATTGACTGAGCGTCCGATTAATCAACAAACAATGGGCAGCCCAAGCAGAGTCAGTGAAGCATTGAGTAGCTCGGTCAGCGAGGAAGATGACCTTCGATACGCTACACAACGTGTGGATGACATAGACAATGACATTTTCAATGAAATACACTGACGCCTTGGACAACTAGATCGAATTTCTTTTTAAACTGAACTTTTGGACATATACAATGATGATGAAGAAAAACTAAACGAAGTGAGACAAAGTCTTTATGACGTAGCCAAGGATACTCGACACGATACCCCAAATGGATATCTACCAAAACGTGTACAAAGAGAACATTCCAGGAAGTCTGTAATTGAGAAATATGCGTCTGATATATATTGCCTATATGGTTTTATTACACAGACAATCCCCTCTCATATACTGGAAAAACAAGTGCTCAGCAAAGGCAAATCAAACGCACGTCCCACCAACGTACCAGGAGATAGTTTACTGGATACACAAAGAGGTAATGATCTTTTGACCCTAATCTATGCAAAAATGATGGAAATGCGGGATTCTGCGAGCGAACATAATGCCAGTCTGGACAGAAGAATTGAAGAACTACACAGCAAATTCGACAATGAACTCAGGAATATGAAGCGGACCATCGAAGAGAAGAACAGCGACCTAATAACAGCGTCAAGGGAGATAGAAAGGTCTAAAAACGTAGAGCTCAAGCTACGTGGAGACGTACGGATACTAGTCTCTCAACTATGTGAGAAAGATTCACGGATACACCACCTTGAAAGTGATCTGAAAGACAATATTAGTAACCTAACGCGAAAAACCAATGCTATAGACGGCAAAATAGACATAGTAAACACTCGCAACAAGCTTATGTACTCTGAGGCAGTTAGAAGCCCCCCGCTGCTCAGAACTGTGAGCTCCAGCGCACAACCAGGACATGAGGCTGACAGTGTTCTGACCAGAACAGCAGAGACCAACAAAACAAAAACTCCAAGTGTTGTGGACATTACTATTAACCACGAGAGGAATACTATTGGAGACAACACCGAGAACGACGAGGGCGGCGACAGTGACACTATATGTACAAGTCCTACTCAACATGACAGAGTCAGCGATGACCATATCAGGGATGTTGGATATGATGACGTTAGCCATAAACAACACGAAGACAATGCTCAGAGATCTGTGAGATTCGACTGTGAATGGTCCAGAGCTTTTAGAGGTGTTTCACCAAAATTTAAAACAAAAAGATTTGTGCTATCGTATGTTAGAGCGGATAAACCACTAAAGACAGTGCAAGATGCCATATGTGAATATGCTAAACAACGTGGTGTCCATGTGAGTTACGTTCGTTTGCTGAGGCACTGGGAAGGCTACAATCCCACCTACACACTGAGAGTGAACATTGACAGTAGGACAGCAGAACAAGTTAGTGAGAATGAAGATTTCTGGCCGCCAAATGTAAGATGTCGGGAATGGATACCACAGTCACACAGAAACAGCAATGGCGCACGCTAACTCGTCTAACATGATATCATTGAACACTTGCCTAATACTTATTACCATGCTAAGTATACGAACATGGAATGTAAGAGGTGTACTGTATTGTCGACAGTACTTAGAGAAACTAGCGAGTGACTGTGATGCCCTTGCAGTGTGTGAACACTGGTTGAACGATAGAACGCAGAGCTGGTTTGACTGTCTAAATGATAAGTTTGACGTCGCGGCTAAGGTTAAGGCTAACCAGCGAGGATGTAGAGGGGAAGGCGGTGTGGCAATTTTAGTTAAGAAAAATATGTACAGGTACACTGATATATGTGAATGTGAGTATGATAGTGTTGTAGCTGTGAGACTCTCCCTTCCCCAGTGTGCTGATATGTATGTAGTGTGTGCTCTGCTCCCCTCCACTAATCACAACACAGCAGTGTATGAGGAGAGTGTCAAGGAAGTGTTCGACGTGGTTGATGAGCTATCAGAAAGCAGTTATGTTGTTCTTTGTGGAGATTTTAATACAGATCTTGTAAATTACCCAGCATCCCCTCGCTCCACTGTACTGCAGTCATACTTTGATACAAGAAACATGATACCATCATACAACTGTGGTGTCACTCTAGGTCATCTCAAGACATGGTGCAACAAGGCTGGAACACAGTCATCTCTGATTGATTCTATTTTCTTGCCAGATGCTCTTCAATCATCTGTGCTGACGACCTCTGTCAATAACAACATCGATTTCGAGATATCGGATCATTCACCAGTAGTGGTATCATTCCTTAGCGATGCGTTCTTAACAGAGCAAAAGCTATGGACTCCCCCAACTTACAAATGACAGAAGGCGAATGGCCTAGAACTGAAGATGTACTCATCTGAAGTTAACAAAATACTTGGTGACACCCTTCCAGACGTGACACATGCTGACAGCGATATGGTGGAATATTACTTTGATACTATAGTGAGCTCTCTCCACACGTCAACAGCAATGTACATCCCAACAGGACACTACAGACCATACCTTCGACCCTATTGGAGAGGATCTAGTCTAGACTACTACCACTACCAGATGCGTCATGCTAGACGACAATGGATATCTCAAGGTAAACCTAGAGGAGATGCACATGGCTCTTATAAACAGTATAAAGCAGCTAAATGCAACTTCCGTCGACAGAAAAGAAAAGCCGAACGGCAATGGGACAGACACAAGTATACAGAACTGAACTCTGCCTGTGAAGTGGACATTGGTGAATTTTATAGAACTGTCAGGAAACAGAGGAAGACTAATGTAACATGTACATCTCTACAGTATAAAGACAAGACGGCCAGCACACCCGAGGACATCTGCAATATGTGGACTGATTACTACGGAGATCTGCTGTCTCCTCTCGGTAGGCCTGAGTTTGAAACGGACTTTTATGAGGAAACAAAATCAAAGGTTTGTGATATAGCAAACAGTAACATATCTGAGAACGATCCAATCCTGGCGACAAGTATTACATCTAATGAAGTGAAATCAACCATTAAGAGGCTGAAAAAGAATAAGTCTCCTGGACCAGACTGTATTACTGTAGAACACCTCTGTAATGCTGACAATCTTCTGTTTAAACATCTGGCACACCTCTACAATATGATGATCAGTACTTGTTACACGCCTGTCATGATGAGAACTGGAACTATTATTCCCATCTACAAAGGGAATAATAAAGATAAATGCAACCCAGCTAATTATCGCGGTATCACTCTAACATCCGTGATTGGGAAGGTATTTGAGAGGCTGTTGCTAGACAGACTGGAGTCCTACATCAAATCTATTAATCCTGATTTCCCACATCGTCTCCAGTGCGGCTTCCGGAAAGAGCATGGCGCCAGTGTTGCTACATATGTGTTAAAAGAGGCTATTTCCTATTATCAAGATAGACACTCAAATATATATGTTGCCTTTCTGGATAACGAAAAGGCCTTCGACAGGATATGGCATGAGGGGCTGCTACTGAAACTATACAATCTTGGTGTGAAAGGCCGTGCATGGCACATTATCCGTCAATCTTACCAAGAAGCAAGTGCTTGTGTTAAATACAATGGGAGCACAGGTGATTTGTTCAATGTTCAACAAGGAGTAGGACAAGGTCGTGTGCTCTCAGCATGGATGTTTCTAGTCTATATTAATGACCTGATATCTCTGCTTGATAATCTACAATGTGGACTTATTGTTGGTAAGGAGCACATCCCAACGGTAGTACTGGCTGATGACACTACTGTTGTGAGTACGAGTGTACATGGACTGAATATGTCTCTTGATACTATCCACCAGTATGCTCGGCGCTGGAGACTGACATATAACGCCAATAAGAGCTGTGTCTTGTCTTTTTGCAATAACAGAAGACATTGTAATAGACCTGTGTTCAGAATTGGAGATGTGACAATGAAGATCCAAAGCAGTACGATTTATGCCGGCTCTCTGATACACACGGAAAAAGCAAGTGAACGAACTACTAGGGCTTGTGCTAAGGCGCGACAGACAATCAACTCCTTAAGAAATGTTGGTCTTAGAGCTGGAGGATTGAGCCCAGTATCTTCATCGAATATCTGGCAACGAGTGATCTTCCCCACTGCCTTCTATGCATGTGAGCTCTGGCCTAATATCAACAACCGTGAGATCAGTGAGGTGGAAACCCTACAGCGCTACTTTGCACGACGAGTCCAAAACCTTTACAGGAGATCCTCTACAGCTGCTACAACCCAGGTTCTAGGATTGTGGTCAATGCTGGGCAAGGTGGAGAAAATGAAGCTTCTCTTTCTGGGACGACTCTGTAGAGCAGCAGGCACAACCAATATGAAGCCGATTTTCTATCTCAGACTATCCCAGTATGTCACCACTCTCTCACACAGTGCCAGATCCATAACACATGATCTACTGAATGTGGCTCAAGTATGGATTCTCAGGCGTCTTAGATAAACTAATCAACTCTGGGGAATTTCCATCTAAGAGTGTATGGAAGAGCTTGGTACAACGAGCTATTAGTGAGTCTGAAAATATGAATAGAAGAAATACTTTGCAACAACGTCCAGACATGCATAGGTTTAGTGCTATCCACACCCGCCTTGCCCCACATCGTCTCTGGTCTCTGTGTGTATGGTATGATATTGCTTCCCCCCCCCCCTGTATATGCTCTTGTAAAGCTCGGCATATTACCTGTAACGTCTGGACTGTGTCTTATCTGTAATTGTGAATGTGATGACATTGTTAAGCACCAATTGCTTTACTGTGATGGCCTAATGAAACAGAGAAATGTGCTTAGTGAGTCTCTATTTGACAATGTTAGCCTTGAAACATATCTCAGACTTGAGGACACGTCTAGTGATGCCGTCAAGATTCTGACATACCTCGGTGCTATTACAGATGTGGTCCAAGACATGACACTTGACAGCTGGGCAACATTCATGAGTATCGTGGCTAAACATGCATGTCATCTCATGGAACTTAACATCCATATTGTATTTGTGAAGCTATGTCACACATCATGTAAATATAGTTTCACGCATCACTTCATTACTGCTTACCCAGCCCAATCTGTTGTACTTACATGTATTTTGTCATTGCCGTTGTCAAATAATGTAATGTAATTGTATGTACTACTCTCCAAATCATTGGGGGAAATAAAGAGTATTCATTCATTCATTCTACAGACACACACTACAGGATATCTACTACAGGCACAGAATAGAGTATATGTACTATATGCACGCACTACAGGATATATAATATAGACACACAATACAGGATAAATACTACAGACACGGAATACAGTATGCACACTACAGGATATATACTACAGATACAGAATACAGTATATATACTACAGACACCGAATGCAGGATCACGACATACCTCCTTCTTCAGCACAGCATGTATCACCGATATGCTAGAACATGCATCCACTGCAGTAACCCTACTGACAGATGCTATGCTGTCTGCCGCTTGTGTGTTCAAAAGGGAGAGAATCGACGTAAAAGGCATAGTGACTTCCCATCGCATTACAACGAATGTCTTATGAAAAAACACTAAGGTTGTCATGCACTAAATACTTTTCGGGCTACTCAAAGCACTGAACATCTAGCCAAGTGAAACCAGGTACGCAGTGAGCACAGGGCCTTGTGTAGGACAAAGGGACCAGTATCTACAGCGTAATAGAGTAGAACGGATTTACACTCAACTGGTGACTCCAAACGTTTTTGGGACCATGTCAAACGTGTGTCCGGGCGTCAACATCATCGCAATCTTATCTCCGCGGGAGAGTGGGCTGAATATTTCTCAACATTATACACAAATACTGATCCTCTTGACACTGACGATGGAAGTCCGTACTTCTGTGAATCACGTGAATTGACAGCAGACATTCTTGACTGCCCTATAACAAGATAGAAAATCACATACAGTATTCGTGTCTTAAACAATAATAAATCAGCTGGAGTTGACCATATCATAAGCGAATACCTAAAACACTCATCAGATGTTATTTCTCCTTACTTGGAGATTATATTCAATAGTATGTATGAACAAGGTGTTTTTCCTGAAAATCGGTCATAAGAATTATCATCCCAGTACATATCGAGCCATAAGCCTTCTGGGTGTCCTTAGCAAAGTATTCACTTCAATTCTATGCAAGAAATTTGTTTTCTGGGCAGACACTTTGTGTTATTTCTGAAAGCCAGTCAGGCTTTCGGAAGGATTATTCCATTGTAGATAAATGTTTTGTCCTTAATGCTCTTGTACAACAATTCCTTTCACGTAAAGGGGGTAAGTTTTACGTCGCTTTTATTGACTTTGATTCCATACACCGTAACCTTCTTTGGAGTCTGTTTTATAAAAGGGGATTAAGTACAAACATGGGTAGAATATTGCAGTCAATCTACAAGGACGTTAAGACATGTGTAAGGTCTAACAATCGTATGTCTGAGCAGGGTATGAAACTCCCAAAAATTTCAGCCAGACCACAGGCCTGGCTAGCTGAAATACTTGCCAGCCCTGACCAAAACCTGCCTGCCCACTATAATAATATGTTTCTCAGGATAAGCTAACGAGGTTTCTTTTTGGTTACATTTTATCATTCATCTTTACATGTGAATTAATGCTTATCATCGGGAAATATTTAGAATATTTTCACATATGAAATATAACCCGACCGTCGGGCAGGTGGATTTTAAAATCTGGCAGCCCGAGTTGAAATCAACCCGTCTCGGACGGTCGGGCAGGCAGGTATTTCGAACACTGGTCTGAGGCATTCGATTGCCCTTTGGGTGTCGGCTCGGTAAGGCACGGCTGTGTATTTATGCCGTTCTTGTTCTAGTCCTTTACAAATGAAATAGTTCTTGAGATGGAAGAGGGGTGTCCGTTTGGTGACATCCAGACATTATCCACATCCTTTTACTTCTATTTGCAGATGATTTGATACTCGTTGGTGATAGTGTTTCTAACCTCCAGAAGACATTAAGCGTCCTTGAGCATTTTTGTAACTCTCGGAAAATGTCAGTTAATATGTCTAAAGTTGTATTTAAAAATGGTGGTTGTTTGTCACGTTTCGAAAAGTGGTTTTACAAAGGGAAAAGGGTTGAAGTTGTTACTTGGGTTTGTATTTAAATAATAGGCTTAACTGGTCTCGGCTCTTGATAAGATTGCCCTGCAGGCGAAAAGGTTATAGATAACTATCCTGAGAGGTATACATTCGCTACAATCTTTTTCACCAGATATCTACTTTCAAATTTTCGATGCGAAGATCATGCCAGTACTTCTGTATGGTGCCGGGGTCGGGGGTTTGAAAATGTTGAAAAATTTGAAACTGTTCAGTTATATGCTTGCAAACGGTTTTGGGGTTTAAAATTGTGTGGCAGATACCCTATTCGTGTATATGCTTTGACCAGATGTGTGAAATATTGGCTGAACATACTAAAGATGCCAGACTTCTGTTTACTAAGAAAGTGCTACAAAAATGTCATATTATGCTTGTTTTAAAACTTGTGTTAAATGTGAACCTTAACTGTCATTCATAAATTCGCAAAATATGAAAACAACCCTCACGAGTTTCAGACTGAGTTGTAATACTTTGGAAATTAAGAACGGACGTCATTATAAAATTCCAAGAAATTTAAGAAAATGCAAACTTTGTAAATTAGACTGTGTTGAAACCGAGTACCACTTCCTGCTTATTTGTCCAACGTATGTCAAATTACGACAACTATATCTCAAAGCAAAGTTCTATTGTCATTCAAACGTTCATAAATTTAATATGCTTCTGTCATCACCAGATACATATATTACTACAAATCCATCAAAATATCTATATTATGTAAATGAAGTAAGAAATGCGAAACTGAATGTTTTAAACCTGTCTGTCGTCAACTTTTGTACACAAAGGCCTGTGTATGTATTGGGAATACAATCGTATGAATGCGTGAATGTAGCTTCGTATAAAAGAAAAACATTACATACTTGCAAATGTGCCTTTTCGAAACATTTAAACTTTGATCTTCTTCTACATAACAGTTTCATAATGGCGTTCGTTTCCTTGGATGGTATATCAGTATTCATTTAGAAAGAAACGTCATCGCATGAGGCATGTGTTATTAAGCTTATTAAGGCCTGACTAAGTGATGACTCTAAGTAGAACATCTACAACATTGTTTATGATCTTCCTGTTCTCAATGAGGAAACGTAGATGAATCTGCATTGCTCAAATCAGAGCAATGTGGTCTTTGATTTCAACTTTGAAGTCAAAACATAAATGGGACCAAAGCAACAGTAATGGCATTGGAAAACAAACGACTTGTGGTTTATTACCTTTAGCTATCATTAAAGTTCTATTGTTTCTTATTTAAATGTCAACGTCTGGTCACACTGACCAATGTACGAGCTTTATAATATACTAAAAATTAAAATATGGGTACAACCACGTTGAGATTGCTGAGGAACATAAGGATCGTACTGCAGTACTTCATTTACCATAGGGCCGCTAGGTTTTTATGAGTAGAACCGACTTCCCTTTAGCTTAATATGTAATAGTCCATCCATGTACCCGCGCTTATATGGACATATAGGGAAAGTTCAACATTGGAAAGTTGAAGTCATCCCTCTTGTCATACAGTGTGACGCTTCAGAAGATAGCTTCAATATATTCACTACTAACATGATCTAAAGAGCCCGTGAAAGGTAATATCTGATGTGTGTATTCATCTAATATGTGATTATGATTAAAATGTATAACTGAATAATTATCAAACTGGCTTCGTTGGGAATGTTATGTTTAATAAGACACAGAAATATGATGTTGGTATGTTATTATTCGACCACTCTTCCTCCACGAACTGATCCGAACGCTAGCATTTCTTTACATATAGATTTTGATTAAGTATGTATTTCAAAATCATTTAGCAATAGTCAAATCACGAGGGGCTAAATAAGAAATGACTTCCAAACTTGTTTTTCTATTTCTGGATACAAACTCTGACCCACGGCTTGTAACCAACACTTCGGCCACCATGTTACATATAGGACTCTTTCATTGACAATAATACCTCCACACGGTTTAGGTTTAATCACAGAATGCCAATTTGTATAAGATTTAATTATGTCATTGATGTTTCAAGTGTAAGCACGTAAAGTGATATCCGTCGACATGAACGACGAGAGGACACAAGGAAATAACGTAATTGACACTAAATCTTATACAGTTAAAGAAGGACTGGGAGTGTCAACAACCTTCACACTGTGGCTCAGTTTGGTTGAAGTAACGCGATTGTTAGGGCCTGTATTGAAGAGCGTGTGAGCCGTTTGCTTCGACATTACCTGACACAACTTGACCAAATACTGATGAAGCGGGGAAGAATGTACACTACCCAATTATACAAAAACACGAGGATGGACTGACATAAGTTAACATGTAAAGTGTCTGTAAAGATGGTGTGTATCCGTTTATTAATTACATTTTCCACACATAAGGGTGCGAATATTTACCCGTTAATGTACAGTGGGTTTAAGCCTTAACGAGGAACGATAGTCAATGTCAGTGGTGTACATCAAGGTGTCATCATACACCACGAATGCTTCACCCGTTCGGTCTTCCACGGATATTCAGTGAAACTTCGAAAACATATCGACTTATCCATACTTCGATCCAACGGAGTACCAATATGACACCAAAGAGCAAATAGGTACGTATCTTGAGGTCATAAATATACACGTTTTTTATACGATCCATCGAGTTAGTTAAGTTAACTGGATACTGCTGTCATGTGTGACGTGTATACGAAGCATGAGGGTATTTCTATTCACCGATTGTTCAAGCGATGAGAACGCGATAAATCAACCTTAAAACTATGCACTGTCATACAATAGGAAATTCATGGTAATATAACTGCACTGTAGTATGTCGTATGAACAGCTGGACGCCAACGCGATGCACTCAAACTCCTCTTCCTTTTATCATCCCGTATATTTCATATCCTTCCTCAAATCTGTTGTATAACAAAGCTAAAATAATACTCAAATTTAAAAAAACATAACTGACAATTTCCATGAAGCACAATTAAACATGTCCTTGGTATGGGATAGTGACATTCTATTCAGGATGTCGTGTTTGTGTCATTGTATTTCCTGTTACGTAACGCGCCTAAGAAGGTCTCCACTCCCTCACGTATATACGTAACGACGTGTTATAATCTCACCCACATCGAAGGGAGTGGCGAACATATCAATCATGATGTCAAGATAACTCTTATTTGTTTTATTGAGCCCTATCTGCTTCAGGGGCTGATGGGGTAGCCTGGTGGTTAAATCGCTCGCTCGTCACCCCGAAAGCCCGGGTTCGATTCCCCACATAGGTACAATGTGTGAAGCCCATTTCTGGTGTGCCAAGCCGTAATATTGCTGGAATATTGCTAAATGCGGCGTAAAACCATACTCACTCACCAACTTCAGGAAGTAACTTAACATACTTACAGGTCAGCGATTTATTACGTTACTTGAATCAATGACGTCATGGCCATCAAGGTCA